TCCAATCTTCATTGTATATTTTGCCAGCAAGATGGAAGCTGTGTATGAAGAGTATTTTGGTAAGTAGTTGTAATATTGAATATTTATACGATAAACACGGTGCAGCTTTCAAATGTCTGATAGGATACTAATCACATCTAGGTTGGGGGGCGGATTGGTGTATTAATCAATGATTACTAAAAGTACACGTTTAAGTCTATTTTGCATTCTTGACGATTCATTCCACACACCTAAGCCACAATGGCTATGTTATGTTAAGATGTAATTCAGTGTTCACTACAAACACATGGGTTCAATAGAATATAAGCATGTTTTCACTGCTGATCTTAACTAGAGTCCATTTCACTGCTTCAGTTCGTCAGTAGAACGGCAAAAGTAAGAAATTGGGAGACCATTGTGCAATAATATATGGAAAATTATATTCATAATGTACATGAATGACATTTGTATATCTTGGATTGCTTCTAGTTTGGCTTATAAAGTGTGTGGCCTCTTATATTTGGATGTTTCTCTGCCATGTTATTTTCAATAAGATTAACATGGCTGAAATTCTTCAAATTACAAGACGGCACAGGCTTATTGCACAAAAAACTAAAAAATCTGAAATATACAAATGTCATTCATGTACATTATAAATATACTTTTCCATATATTATTGCACAATAGTCTCCCAATTTCTTATTTTTGCCGTTCTTCTGACGAACTGAAGCAGTGAAATGGACTCTAGAGTCGGTTTTCATAATGGCAGTTTTTATGTAATGAAATCACTGGCTGGAAATCAGTGTTCACTACAAACAGGTGTTCAATAGAGTATAATCATGTGTTCACTGGGCACAGATCTTCACTAAGTCGGTTTTCATATTGACATGTACTGGACATGTTCTGACCATCATTTACTATGGTATAGAAAAAATACATAAAGTTAACATGCTGCAATTTATTGATTCAGCAGTATACTACTTATACATATATACTTACTTATGCTATATACATTATATATTTTCTCTTCAACCATCTTGATGGGGACTATTAGTATGCACATATTAAATAATCCCAGGCTGTAATTCAGTAGCTATGGCCAATAGGGTACCTCTAGCAAACTGAAAACAATCTGCTTCTCCATTGACTCCTATGTTAAATCACTTACACATTGCATTTTTTCTGTAAGATTGTTGACAATCTGCAATCTGAATTGCAATCTGTTCTATACTTCTCTCTCAATGTTACAATGTGCAGATTGTTGCAATGTGTGCAATATGCAATCTGGATTGTACAATCTGTTTTATACTTCTCTCAGAATGGCCAACAATCTTAACAATGTTAGCAATGTTGCAATGTGCAGATTGTTGCAATGTGTGCAATCTGCAATCTGGATTGTACAATCTGTTTTATACTTCTCTCAGAATGACCAACAATCTTAACAATGTTGCAATGTGCAGATTGTTGCAATGTGCGCAAACTGCAATCTGGATTGTGCAATCTGTTTTATACTTCTCCTTTCAGAATGGCCAACAATCTTAACAATGTTAGCAATGTTGCAATGTGCAGATTGTTGCAATGTGTGCAATCTGCAATGTGGATTGTACAATCTGTTTTATACTTCTCTCAGAATGGCCAACAATCTTAACAATGTTAGCAATGTTGCAATGTGCAGATTGTTGCAATTTGCGCAATCTGCAATCTGGATTGTACAATCTGTTTTATACTTCTCTCAGAATGACCAACAATCTTAACAATGTTAGCAATGTTGCAATGTGCATATTGTTGCAATGTGTGCAAACTGCAATCTGGATTGTACAATCTGTTTTATACTACTAAGAATGGCCAACAATCTTAACAATCTAAGCAATGTTGCAATGTGCAGATTGTTGCAATGTGTGCAAACTGCAATCTAGATTGTACAATCTGTTTTATACTTCTCCCCTCAGAATGGTCAAAAATTTTAACAATCTTAGCAATGTTGCAATGTGCAGATTGTTGCAATGTGTGCAATCTGCAATCTGGATTGTGCAATCTGTTTTATACTCCTCCCCTCAGAATGACCAACAATCTTAACAATGTTAGCAATGTTGCAATGTGCAGATTGTTGCAATGTGTGCAATCTGCAATCTGGATTGTGCAATCTGTTTTATTTATAATTCTCTCAGAATGGCCAACAATTTTACTAACAGTACTGCTTTTATTAATATTCCAAAAGAATTATCTTATTTTAATAGTATCTTTAACTATTGTATTTCTAGGGAAGTTATTGTATCGTAATGGATGGCTGTGGGTTTTGAGTTCTATGATGGTCCAAAGGCTCAATCCAAGAGAGACCTTATTAATTAAATGTAAAATCCTATTTGGTCTTATAGCTTTTTTAGCACAATTGTAAACAACAAAAGGCTGAAGACGGAGATACAAATGTCATCGATTTTAGATGGATTTGTAGTTTTGACCAGATCAGAGTGCACTCACCTGCTTTCAGTAAAGGGTTACATCAAAATTGACCAGGCAATTGTTGGTAACACTTTTATTTTTTGATAGAGACAATGACCATTGTTAGAATCTCATATTATTACACACATTTCAAAAGTAGAAACTAATTTGATTTCCAGTGAATAATTTGGATTCAGATGTCATCTTGAAAATAGAATAGGCCTAAATGGATTCCCCTCACAAAGGATATCAAAGACTAGAGATGAGTTTAAAGTAATTAACCTTTGTCAGTCCAAGTTTTTGAAGAGTTACATTTTGAAAATGATTAAGCTGATCTCCCTTTTTGTACATGTTCACACTGACTTCATTTCAACTAACACCTATGATATATGGATGAATCAAAGTTTGAATAAGTTTACATTTCACTGTAACTCCAACTGGCTCTGTATTGGCCATGTTAATTAATATTCATTATCTTGAACAGTATTTAATTTATTCTTAATGAGCAGATATCACTTTGGGGAGAGACTGCACATGAAACAGCATCTCATTAACAACATATGATATGATGAAACAAAGCATTTCTCATACAATCATTGGATGTGATCTTACATCTGTATTCTACTGCTATGGAAAAATGGAATAAATGGATTGAGATTTAAATGTGTCACTGAATTTTCTAATTGTTGTTAATCATTATCTCAGTAGGAATAAAGTGAAAAACAGACTATTTTCCCCATTTTGAGATCATTTTATCTTGAAAACTATTGTGATAACATTTGGCATTCTTGTGCCCAATCATTGACTGTCATTATTCACTGACAGAATCCTTGACAGAAGCAGCTTACCTTAACCCCCCCCCCCCCCATCAGGCTAAGGTGACTGGACTTACTACCCTTTGCATTCATTCGACTTTCTTTCTCAAAAGAGAGCTTCGTCTTCACTCTATCAGTTTTCAATGAATCTCTGAACTCACTGCGCTAATCAGAGTTTGTAGTTGAAATAAGGACGGCTTTCTATATGGTCATTTTCTCTGACGAAATCGCATCATTAATATGCACGCATTTACCACTTGTTCCTTCAAGCTCGCTGATTGGTTGAGAATAGGTCAGCATAGTTTATTGCAGCTTGGGTCATAAATGCTTTAAGACCCATGCCAATGGCATCGGTCATGGGGACGGGGCTGCTAAACTCACTCCATGCTGTGCTTCTATATTATGGTAATATATGATAAAATCACCCCTGACCTGTCAAAAGCTAAAAATGTCATTTTTCAAATTTCCATTATTTTTTACATCTCCTAAGGAATAATATGACAAAACAAGAGTATATGACACAATTCTAAGCTCATTTGAGATGCATACGTCTCATAATTAAGAAAAGTTCAAGGTTAAATAAGCCCCCCCCCCCAGGCCATCATAAGCTAAAATGAAAATTTCAAATTTTAAGAAATGTCCAATCATTTTCTACATCTTATTGGAGGTTTTATGATTAAACAGAACTATATGCACCATCTTGAGCTAATTTGGGATACATATATTACAAACCTTGAAAGTTATTAAGGTAAAATATGGTTACCCCTGGCCCTTCAGAAGCGATAATGAATTTTTTTTTTTTTTGAAAAGTTCCAATCATTTTTCAATCCAATTAGGAATAATATGACAAAACAAGACTCAATGCACCATTTTGAGCTCATATGAGACCCATACATTGCATATCTTAAAAATTATTAAGGTAGAATAAGGTTACCCCTAGGCCGCAAGGGCTTAAAAATTCAAATTTCGATAATTTTTATCTCAAAAAATACATGAGCTACCCAAGCCATATTCTATATTTGTGATGAACACTTATACCCCTATTAGTATGAATTTTTCCAAGATGATCAGACATCACATTCTTGAAATACAGTACTTGATGTCCCATATTTGACCCTTTAAAAGATGAATTCACGCTAGATAATTGGGTCAAAATGCATTTTCCACACTAAACACCACATCTACAATCGGTTTGTCTCAATTTCAAGGCTCAGAGCAATCACCAAATGAAGTCATTTAAAAAAATTTACTTCACAACCATTTTTATTTATTTTTTATAATGTACCCCCTCCCCGCCTGATAGGGGTGGGGGTCAGAGACTAAAAAATCCATGAAGACCACTCCGGATCACTTGCCCCGAAATCATTTTCCACTCAGATCAAGTGTTTCTACAACTGTGCCAAGTTTGTTGCTTTCCTGAAAAAGTCGAACTATAAAGGGCTCATTTCTGGACATCTGACTGCGCTATATAGGAGTAAGATCTTCTTCTTATGCAAATCAATGCTGCGTCTATCATGTCATGTATATTCCCAAAATGGAATAATTTTAAAGCTTGTGAGTCATTATACATTTCATTTAATAGAGCAAGCCACAATGCTAAATCAAAAATCGTTACCCCTATGTAATTCCAGGCTACCATATATGTAGATGCCTGGAGATGGTTCTACATTATTCTAAGGCTCTTGTTTGGAATACATGTCAAAATATGATTAGAAGGATTTCTATGATTTTTGACAAAAATGCTGATTTTGAAAATTATTTTGCTTCAGTGACCTTTGGAAATTGGAAAGAGACTTTGATTTCAAAGTCCGTGAGATTATTCGACAAGGGATGGTAGACCTCTCATTGCTAGGCAACCAGGTGTTATCAACCAATGAGAAATGGAGTTTGGACAATTTAGTAAGACATCTGGTAAGTTTTTCAAAAATGAGTTTTTACAAACAATGAGATATATCAGCTCATTTGGGTGCTACATAAGTATCAAATTCAAAATAACTTTGTAAAAGATCAGAATGATCAATGATGTACGCGTTTAAGGCTTAATTATGACTTAGATAATTTAATCGACATCCATATACATGGCCTTCAGTAGTTATCAGCATTTGCTATGTAGGAACTTTTTTCATATTGATGATGTCATTATATACTATCAAGAAAACTTATTTATATTGACTTGATTATCATGAGCTGCATGAGACCTTTAATTCTGATGGGTGTCATCCTTTGCAGATAGGAGCTTTATAGGACCTTTAATTCTTATTGACATCATGAGCTTTACAGGACCTTTAATTCTGATTGATGTCATTGTGTGCTGCACATGATCTTTAATTCTGATTGATGTCAGTGTGTGCTGCACAGGATCTTTAATTCTGGTTGATGTCATTGTGTGCTGCACATGATCTTTAATTCTGGTTGATGTCATTGTGTGCTGCACAGGACCTTTAATTCTGATTGATGTCATTGTGTGCTGCACATGATCTTTAATTCTGATTGATGTCATTGTGTGCTGCACATGATCTTTAATTCTGATTGATGTCATAGTGTGCTTCACAGGACCTTGAATTCTGATTGATGTCATAGTGTGCTTCACAGGACCTTGAATTCTGATTGATGTCAGTGTGTGCTGCACAGGATCTTTAATTCTGATTGATGTCAGTGTGTGCTGCACAGGATCTTTAATTCTGATTGATGTCATAGTGTGCTTCACAGGACCTTTAATTCTGATTGATGTAATTGTGCGCTTTACAGGATCTTTAATTCTGATTGATGTCATTGTGTGCTTCCCAGGATCTTTAATTCTGATTGATGTCATTGTGTGCTTCCCAGGATCTTTAATTCTGATTGATGTCATTGTGTGCTTCCCAGGATCTTTAATTCTGATTGATGTCATTGTGTGCTTCCCAGGATCTTTAATTCTGATTGATGTCATTGTGTGCTGCACATGATCTTTAATTCTGATTGATGTCAGTGTGTGCTGCACAGGATCTTTAATTCTGGTTGATGTCATTGTGTGCTGCACATGATCTTTAATTCTGGTTGATGTCATTTTGTGCTGCACAGGACCTTTAATTCTGATTGATGTCATTGTGTGCTGCACATGATCTTTAATTCTGATTGATGTCATTGTGTGCTGCACATGATCTTTAATTCTGATTGATGTCATAGTGTGCTGCACAGGACCTTGAATTCTGATTGATGTCACAGTGTGCTTCACAGGACCTTGAATTCTGATTGATGTCAGTGTGTGCTGCACAGGATCTTTAATTCTGATTGATGTCATAGTGTGCTTCACAGGATCTTTAATTCTGATTGATGTAATTGTGCGCTTTACAGGATCTTTAATTCTGATTGATGTCATTGTGTGCTTCCCAGGATCTTTAATTCTGATTGATGTCATTGTGTGCTTCCCAGGATCTTTAATTCTGATTGATGTCATTGTGTGCTTCCCAGGATCTTTAATTCTGATTGATGTCATTGTGTGCTTCCCAGGATCTTTAATTCTGATTGATGTCATTGTGTGCTGCACAGGACCTTTAATTCTGATTGATGTCATTGTGTGCTACACAGGATCTTTAATTCTGATTGATGTCATAGTGTGCTTCCCAGGATCTTTAATTCTGATTGATGTCATAGTGTGCTTCCCAGGATCTTTAATTCTGATTGATGTCATTGTGTGCTTCCCAGGATCTTTAATTCTGATTGATGTCATTGTGAGCTGCACAGGATCTTTAATTCTGATTGATGTCATAGTGTGCTTCCCAGGATCTTTAATTCTGATTGATGTCATAGTGTGCTTCCCAGGATCTTTAATTCTGATTGATGTCATTGTGAGCTGCACAGGATCTTTAATTCTGATTGATGTCATAGTGTGCTTCCCAGGATCTTTAATTCTGATTGATGTCATTGTGAGCTGCACAGGATCTTTACTTCTGATTGATGTCATAGTGTGCTTCCCAGGATCTTTAATTCTGATTGATGTCATAGTGTGCTTCCCAGGATCTTTAATTCTGATTGATGTTATTGTGTGCTTCCGAGGATCTTTAATTCTGATTGATGTCATAGTGTGCTTCCCAGGATCTTTAATTCTGATTGATGTCATTGTGTGCTATATTCCAGCTCCACAGGTGTCTAGACAAGGACCCTGCTGGAAGGAAGGGAGATTGGGATGACTGGTCAATGACAGATGTTATGAGAAAGTATGCTGCTACTGATGCATATGTAAGTTATTTTTAGCAGTTCTCCATGTAACAGCATCGTATGTCATTCAAAGGTCTTTATCACCTTTTTCAGGTCATGAACATTGGACATGTCAAAGTCAAGGTCACTAATGTATATATCAAAATCATGTTCTTTATCTGTCATTTTCTTACATGTAATTTATACTGTTATGTTAAGCCTCTGAGTCACGTTTGTTCTACTGGGACTGTAACTTCACACAATCGATATAGAAAATCTACATCACACTGCTATTTCATGCTGCATATTTCTCTTGATTTTGGGAAGTTGTAGTACAGCCTCCATATGCTTACCCTAGACCAAATGTGACTGAGGCTTTACGGAGCAGTGAGGGGTATTGTAGAAATCTGATTGGCTCTAGAGACTAGAAGGGTTTTAATGGTAAAAGGTTCAACTTGTATTCACAGTACTAAATGAAATATTTCTTTCAGGCAAGTCTACTGGTTTACAATGAATTACAAAAGAGGGCACTGAAAGCATCGTGATGTCATAAATAACCAATGTACTTATCAACAATGATGGCGTTATGAATGATGAAATTTGAAGTGTTTATGGAGGTGATTACCACCATTATTCGATGACATAATGAAGACGTCAAATGACTGAGTGAAAAAATGATGGCATTTTCAAATTCAAATGAGATGTAAAAGTTATCTTATTGAATGAACATTCCTCAAAAACTAGCATTGTCTAAAGGATACCATATTGTATTACGACAGCCCATTGTTGAGTTAAAAGAACACATGTTTATCCTAAAATGTTTGTTCATCCAAAGACGAGGGGTGTAGTAAAGCTATACAATGTACGTATATGGGTATAGATGATTAGGACTGCAATTTACTGCAGTGTCAGCGTTCATTTGTAATTGTTACTGTTGTTTTTCTTGCTTCAAACTTTATAAAAGAAATATACAAAATATATTATGTTATTTTATTAAGTATTAAGAAATATTATGTTTTGTCATTATTAATAGACATAAGATATGGTGTACGAAGCATTCCAAGTTTTTATTATGTTAATTATACATGACATGTTTCAAAATGGTGGATTTCAATTAACCTTGCACATTATTTTACCAAAAGACAGATAGCTGAGTTACAATGCTGTATTTGTTACTGAAAAGAATGTCTTTCATTAATTGTTCTTGTATTTTTCCAGATACTTTGCAATTATAATGAAAATGACTTGAGAGGGTTGGCCCTAAGCTTATACAGTGTGTACCCATTTTACAATCTAAATCTTCAAAAATAATTAGAGAGTTGGAGTCATCAAACAAATGGTAATTTCTGCTAGTTTTTTCAATTCAGTCCCATCAACATATTTCTCTTGATTGTTTGGTTAGTCACATAGAGAAAGACAGCATAAAGATACAGAAATGGTTTTCATCTGATATTCCGAACACCATAAGTCCAGCTTATGAGTGTTCCTATCGGAAAGAACAAGACCAAATGATTAAAATGGTGGCTTGACATTCATAAAAAGCTGATTCCAAGCAGTAAAGTGGCAATAAAGGATAGAAAGTTTAAAATGTTCATATCAACATGACTGTATTATTTCCATATGGACAAAATTGATGATTTGAGATGCAAAATATTCAAATTCATCAACCCCATTTTAGAATCATTGCCAAATTAGCTTCAAAAAGCATGACTTATAATGTTCAATTCAGAACAAATTTTGAAAAAAAATTTAACAAAGAAAACTCTGACATAATGATACGCTATCCTCAACTTATCTCTAAGCTTTGCTGCCTCTTTAACTGATTTAATGATTACGACCTGATACTGTATGTCATTGTCAATTTATTTATAGTTGTAGTAGCTATAGCCACCTTCACTCTCACTTTGTGGTGTAGAACGTCCTGAACATATAAGTGGTCCAACAGTGCCATAGCCTTGTTCAATATATTCCTCTGTACCATCTTCTTTGGACTCTGTCTCACCTGAAAAAAGTTATAGAAGTACAATTATTTGAAACTAACTGAATTTAAGACAATGATTAATTCTAATGAATCATGCATCAAACTGTATCTTTGTATATGACTGTTTTGAGGCAAAGCAACACCTAACAGGAGAAAATGATTTTTTGGTGTAAACAGAATTTGCTGAATTAATAACCTTTCTTAAAATATCAAAACTGGAATGAAAATGATGACTTGAAAAAATTCAAAATTATAAATGATTCCAACTTTTGATGTTAAACTAATATATATTTTTTAAACTAACTGAAAGTGATTTGACATGTTAATATGATATGTTTATATGCCATGCATGAACATTACTGATTGGCTTTGAGCCAACCAGAGCAAACACCATCAATGCTGTGGACATGCATGGTTTACTTGTAATGTAGTACAATAACAAATGGATTCATACAATGAAGCATGCATCTCAGTCATACAATATCTTACACCTGGATATGGAATAGATGTAGATAATCAATATGAGCCTTCATGAATTTTGTGACATTTCCAAATGCATGACAACCTTCAACTGTGGAATACAAAAGGGAATTCAACTCTGAGGATCATGCACACAAAATTGTTGCATAGAAGATGTAGCTTTTAAACACGAAGCTTAAAATGAGGAAGATTGATAAGTTTTCTGAGAAGTTAACTGCATCAGACCAATAGACCAATATCTATTGGGATATATTCTAGAAGCTAATGAGCAATATTTCAGAAAATGGACTTGAACTGCCCATATACAGATATACATTTCGAAATAATTAACATATTGTCTAGATATACTATATAGCAAGAGGAAACAATAAATAACAAATTCACTTTTCAAAAATTCTGCGATGCTCCATTTCCTCAGTCAACATAAGTACAATGACACATTCTCACAATTGAATTCCCTCAATGATTTAACTTAAATGCAATAGGGTATGCATGAATCATTCAATTCAACATTCAATATGTATAGCATTCAATATGTATAACATTCAATATGTATAGCATTCAATATGTATAACATTCAAAATGTACAGCAATCAGTGTGAGTTTGATTAATAAACATAGTGAGCAAACTTTCAAAACACAACTCAAAAAACCCTAGTTTCGTGAACATCCCAAGTTTGCAGCAAACATTTCATTATTTCATCAACATCACAAATATAGCACATCTGTAATAGAAAAGTCATTCCAAAGTGCATGTTCTCTAATTTCTAGACCATAGTAGTACCCTGGACTTTTTGAAAAAGGTGTAACATGATTCTCAAGTAATAATCCAGGATACTATGCTTTATGGAGCATTCCTAGAGAAAATATTCATAAGACAATGAAGGCAATTGGTACGTTAGCTTTAGAAATAATCGTCGTAATTCTCCTCCTCAGAGTTTATTTTGGGGATATCTGGTATATCAGAGGGGTCTACACGTCCGTAGCAAATAAGGGCCCCTATGGTTAACAAGCCCTGTTCTCCTTGCCAATCCGTACCTAGATGTAATTATCATGGCATGTAGCTACATATCTGATTAATTATGAGAAAGGAACCAGAATAAAATTCTCAACTCAATGAATTTTATTTTTGGTGAGGTTCCTAAATGCAGTTTGAGGCTTCATTTAATAAGGAACTAAATTTTAGAGATATTCTATCCCAACTGCCTTTTATACCATCAGGGAAAACATAATGAACTAACTGCAATATCTCCCTCAACATTTCTTACAGACCTTTCCTCAACAAATATTCACTTTTTATTAAGATTTTCAGTACATGGGAATTCTTAGCAAAGTTGGCAATTTTGAAAATTGGAAACTAGAAATCGGCAACTCCATGGAGTAGCAAATCCCAACGAAGACTATTTAAATCATGTATCTGTACAGTCACGATGTAATATTCACGATCTACTCTTCCCTTCAATAAACACTTGAGATCTTTGTAGTATCATGTAACTGCACTTAAAGATATTTGTAAGTAATGGCGAATTCCTGCTCTACATGTATAGGCAGCCATTTTGAATTTTCTGAGGCACAAATCAGAAAAACAATACCATAATTGTAACCTACTCTAAAATTCCTTCAATTTGAGTATAATATAGCAATACTTCTAAGAGATCAGAAAATTATTGCGAAATCTCGCATTAGGCGGCCATTTTGAATTTTACAAGCCCAAATCAGAAAAACAATACAATATTTGCAATCTACTCTAAGTTGCCTTTCATTAGAGTATAGTAAAGGTATAAAATATCTGAAAATTAACGCAAATTTCTGTTTTTCACGGCCGCTGGGGTCGGGTGAAAAACACGGAATATATATGAAATAGATATATGTTGTGAATATACTACCAAAATTTCAAATAATGAAAAACATAAGATTGTCTAAAACTACCCGCCATTTTTAAAGTGGTAGCCATCTTGAATAATTTTTTGCGTATCACCAATATACATCTCTTTTTTGACCTTGAGAACTTTTAGATGATTTAAAGTTTAAGTTTGGTCGATTTGAAGTCAGATTTGAACTTCTGAGAACTTGTAGATGATTTTGAAAAAAATGTGTTCAATTTGAAGCAAGTTGAAAAAACACCCTTTTGACCTTTTCACCTTGAGAAGGCCATTGAAGGTCAAATCTTAAATTTAATGTCAGATTTGAACTTCTGAAAACTTGTAGATGATTTTGAAAAAAATATATAAAATTACAAAACTGAGGGTAAAAATCATGAAAATTTTATTAAGAAAGATTAATAAAAATACTTAATAATAGAAGAAAGTGGTAATAATGGCATAAGATAAACCCTAAATGAGAGAGTACCTTAAAGAACATTCCTTGACAAAATGCAAGATTTATGGCCAAAGATTAACACTTATAAAAATGTCAGGATAAATGAATCACATAAAAACTTGCTTATACAATAAAAAAAATACAATAGAGATATTTTGAATTAACATAATCATTCAAAAAGACAATCATTTTAAAAAACATTCCTAAACATTTGAAAACTGAAAAACAAAATCCAGTAAAACCTGTATATCTGAACACCTCTCAGTTCCATACACCTCTCAATGTAAACATTTCTCGGTCCATTTTGTCATCCACCATGGACTTCTATATAAAAAGCCCTAAATAAGAACACTGGTCCCAGTGGTGTTCAGACTATAAGGTTTTACTGTACAGCATTCCTGCATTCTGCATTGCCATCCAATTAAAGAAGACATTCCTTAAGAAAAAGAAAACATTTAAAATACCAATCTTACGAATGTCTCATCAAAAATATTCAAAATAGTCATCATAGTTCCCCTCTTGCGCAGCCTCTTCAGCCTCTGTGGGTGGCTCTCCCTGGCCGACACATATGAGGGGGCCTAGTGTCACATAGGCATCTTCTGGTGGGGTAGTACTACCTAGTGTAATACCAATTCGATTTATTAACATTTTTTAAGCTCAGCCAGTCTGTAAAAAAAAGCTTCTGGTTGTCTTCATAGTTACCTAGCAACACAAGCTAGATTTGAGATATTGCCTGGACAGACCGATGAACATACTTACGGAGGGACGGATGGAGACAGACCAGGCCCGTAGCCAGGAGGGGTTACCCACCTGGCCAAAAATTCATTCAAAATCATGCAGTTTTTCACCATTTTGAGCATTTCTCAAGTGATTTTAGCCATATTTGGGCCAAAATTGTCAGATGTGAACCCACCCTGGAAAATCTTGAAAACTGAACCTCCCTTGGCAAATCCTGGCTACGGGCCTGCAGACAGATTGAGTCATTCCGTATATCCCCTTGAACTCTGTTTGATGGGATAAAAAATCTGTTTGAACATGTCTTGTTGCATATACAAGTATGTAGTATAAGGTAAATAGATTCCTCTAGCTGCTCACCAAAGTTGTTGCCTCCATCTATCTGCCTCTGAAAATCTCAACTGCATGGCTTGAAATATGTACATGCATGTACTTTGGATAGCCAAAAATCTTGTGTCGACTAAGACGTGTTCATTAGGTAAACTTGGTTCTAGCTGACACCACAGACTGTCACTTCTTATCTAATTTTTGTACTTTGGACCTCATGTCCCATCTACAGACAGATATGATACATGTAGCCATGTGGTTTCTTTAAATTGTCACCATTTTGTATTCTACAAACATCAAAATATGTAACTGATATCATTTTTCAATAGCAATGTCTCTAAGTACATTTATATAACAGTTTCTACATGTATTACCTGTATCTCCGGCCAAGAAAGATGTTACAGGGAGGTCCAATTTCTTTGTAATAAATCCCTCGTCTGTTCCCCAACGGTCATCGTTGGCATCACAATTGCATGTTTTTGCAGGATCTGCACAAGAGTGATTCAGGCCACATGCACATCCATAGCCATCTGGCGGACCTCCACCCCAATATTTCATATCTATCCCGTAACGGTTTTGCCAGAAAGTAGTCCGTTCGTCTTCATAATACTGATGCTCAAGAATCGCTGACTTGCACTCCCATTTGATGAATTGTTTACATTCCAACGAATAGTCGACTAGATGCGTAACCTGAGCAATGTTCGTCACTGTGTTATTCGCATAAATTAGCTGTTTCGTGTATTCTCCTGCACCCTCGTAACCTTGGACCTGTGTCCGCTCCATCATATCATGTACTGGAACAGCAATGGAGAGTACTCATAATTTAGGAAATTGTAAAACTTGTGTATCTAAACACCTCCCTAATCTGAAAACTCTACATGTGAACACTTGTTTTGCCTGGTCCCAGTGATGTTCAGATAAGACATGTCTACTGTATTTCAACTTGTAAAGCTGAAATTCTGTTTATGAACATTTCTTATAATTTAATTATAAGTACAGTAACATTGTAAAACAGAGTAAATAATTAAAAGTGCTACAAATTGCCATAAATACAGAGTGGCAGATAAATATAGATAATTTATGAACAGTTGAACAAGTATGTTATGATTGTAATAGAGAGAGTTCTATGAGTTTCCCTTACAGACATATGTGATGCCATCTTCAGTTGTTGTCATATCACAGAACACTTGAAATGGTTCATTCTCACCGTCAGGGCCATCAGGGTCAATGTCAACAGTTGTGTTCTGGCGTAAGCCAAGCTCATAGTAATAACTACAGGAGGGAACTGGAATATAAAATACCACATAGACACTGTTCCACATCTAGTTACTATGACGGAACGTCAATGTAACAAAATGGATGAACTTCCTGGATACATATTTTTTGTTTTCTCGATTTAAAGTGCCAATTTGATAATTTCCATTTATTTTTCTTTACACAAATAGATTCAATGGGTATTGGTTGGTAGAAACAGTATACCAACAGACTCACATCTTCATCTGATTGTCTTTCAGTGCCAAAATAAGATTTCCCAGAAAAAAACATGAAGTCCCCATCAGAACCAGTTATGGATTTTAATCGGCAATGCGTTATGCAACTCGAATGTAAATTCAAAAGTGTTCCTGTTATACTGTGTTCTGATTGGCCAGAAAGGAGTAATGCTTCTCAAAAAAAATTAAACAGCATTGAGTTGTGTAACAGGATCAACTCAACGTGTATAGTTTCTATACTGTATTTTGACTGGCCAGAACGTAATTCTGCAAGACAAGCTTTGTGAAAACGCAACACAGGGTCGGGGAGCTCCAATTGAGGTATTATATTTTTCGCTCATTGGAGGAAAAATCGTGGCTCCAAAGTAGTCAAAGTTGAATCATTTCCGCACTGCATTGAATGCAGTGGCAGCAACCAGTTCAAAACCTATTCTGATCGTGATGTCATGATTGGCACTTGACATTGGGTTCCCTATTTTGAACATCAAATTTCACATTTATATAAAGACTTACAAGAACGGAACATGGTTTGACTTGTAAGTGGTGTTTACTTCATTTAAAACATGTATAAACTAAATTTTGACCCCATGAGCATCGCACAGACACTTTAAACCTACTTATAAGTCAAGTTGGGGATTGTTTGGGGATTATCTGGCACAAAGCTAGACAATATAGTCTAGTTTTTAGAAATGCTCTTGCTTTGGAATTTGATTTTTAAATAAAGCTGTAATTCATGCATTTAGACCATCGCTTTTGTCACAATGACGTAAGTCGTCAAAGTACACATTGGTAATATAACGGACTTTCGTCAATGTAACAAAAGCGAGGGACTAAATATATGAATTGCAACTCCATTAACAAAACAAATTCCAAATCAAAGAAAGTTATAAAACCAAGACTATATTTTCCAGCTTTGTTCCAAATTATAATCTGCAACTTGACTTGACGGTTTAAATTGAGAAAACAAAAACCTCATAACCAGGAAGTTCATCCATTTTGTTCTGTCAAAGTAACTAGCTGTGGAACAGTGATAGGGGATGAAGGTTATATATACAAAACATGGATTTTTAAACAGTAAGATTAATTGCTTTCCTTTATATATGTTGTTTAGGAGCATTTTGACAAAAAGCTTCTTACCAAAGGAGGTCTGAGGTGGTACACAGGAACAAAGTCCTTCTTAGGAAGCTTTTTCTCAAAATGCTTCATAATGACACTCTTTAAGCCTGCTGTGTAGCAGGTACCATATATACTTTATATGACTGAATTTGGAAAACGTATATATTATTGAAAATGGCTGAAAGCTTCACCTTCAGGAGTCAATGAAATAGTTGATGAAACTATGGTGATGGAAAAAAGTTGACCTTTGAAAAAACTACATGTATATGATAACTTATGCCTACCCGGGTTACAAGAGATGTTGTTACATGTTTGGAACATTGTGTCATTCCCAATACAGGGGTCAGTCAGGTGGGCGTGTGTGGTCATGTTACACTCCCGCTTTCTCATAGCCTTCCCAGCATCACATGTCTGGTCGCACAATCCATAGGGACCCCAGTCAAGCCACTCTCCTGGGACTAGAAGACAGAGACTAAGATTAAGCATAACCTTATTGGATCTTCAATCATGGAACATATTCTTTAAGTCAAAAATTAGAAGTTAACCAAATATTTATCTCAAATATAATTTAATTGATGAGGAAACTGGAATGTTCAGAATGGATTGGGGGCAATTTCAAAATTCTTTAGTATTTTTAAAGAGGGAGACAGAATTTAACTATTCAACAAATTACTTTACATTTGACCAAACATTAATCACTTAGTCATGCATGGCTTCCACTCAACGTAATTACTTATTCATACATCACTCTACTTAATTCCTTACTCATGCATGAGTTAACTCAACTTAATAACTTACTTATACATGACTTTCATTCAAATTAATTACTTATTCATGCAACACTCAACTTAATTACTTACTCATGCATGAGTTAACTCAACTTAATTACTTACTTATGCATGACTTTCACTCAAATTAATTACTTATTCATGCAACACTCAACTTAATTACTTACTCATGCATGTATTCCACTCAACATAATTACTTACTCATACATGACTTCCACTCAACTTAATTACTTACTCATGCATGACTTCCATTCAACTTAATTACTTATTCAACATCACTCACCTTAATTCCTTACTCATGCATAACTTTAACTTAATTACTTACTTATGCATGACTTTCACTCAAATAAATTACTTATGGATGCATGACTTTCACTCAAATTAATTACTTATTCATGCATCACTCAACTTAATAACTTACTCATGCATGACTTCCATTCAACTTAATTACTTACTCATACATGACTTCCACTCAACTTAATTACTTACTCATGCATGAATTTCACTCAAATGGATTACTTATTCATGCATCACTCAACTTAATTACTTACTCATGCATCAATCAACTTAATAACTTACTCATGTTTGACTTCCACTCAACCTTATTACTTACTCATTCATGACTTCCACTCAACTTAATTAATTACTCATTCATGACTTCCACTCAACTTAATTACTTACTCATTCATGACTTCCACTCAACTTAATTACTTACTCATTCATGACTTCCACTCAACTTAATTACTTACTCATTCATGACTTCCACTCAACTTAATTACTTACTCATGCATGAGTTTGTGTTACATGGTTCAGTCTCCTGACTGTCCCCTTGACATTCAGCACCACCATAGTATGGCCCTGTACAATTACGTGTCCTGTATCGGCTCCCCCCACCACAGGTGACGCTGCAGACTGACCAATCACTAAATAGCTCCCAGACGCCATCAACTAGAAGCACACCAATCATCAATAATATTAGTTAGTCACTTGATTTTTCAAAAGCTGGAGAAATCAAATAACATTTTGACTGATTGTGTATCAATATTTTGCTAATATCAAGACTATTCAAAATTTCCCAAGATAAAAGTTTGAAATTTTCTTCTTGTAATAAATAACGAAATGTATCCCCATTTGCTGCTAAAACAAAATCAAAATGAAATGCATGGAAGCCTATCAGGCTTGATTCATCGACACTGTTGTATATACAATACTGTATATATTATACTGATGTATATACTGTACATGTATACAATGCTGGGTAAATGATACTTATATATGATAAAACATTGGCAGCTAAATGAACATGCTTTGGTAATACAGTAAAACCTTAATCAAGAGAATGTCAAAATAGAATTAGGTAAAAGTGTTCACTTAATGAGGTTCAGAAAACATGGATTTTGAAGAAACAACCAAAACATTGAACTGAAGCGTTCACATTTCTAGGTGTTCTCTTTAGAGGTGTTCCCATTTACAGGTTTTACTGTATCTGAAATTATGGTGCAGCAAATTAAAATCAGACACAAAGCTTTCAAAGCTGATAAAACCAACTAATTTCACATCACTAAAATATATACACCACTATCTATCTCATTTTGCAATATAAACACACATGCATCAAAGTCTAAAACAGAGGTTAATGAATGCACATTATTATTCAACAATAGCAAACACAATGCATTCTCCAAATACAAGGTTCCAGATATCATCCACTTTGCAGAAGGAAGGAACAGATGGGATGATGGCTGAAACCATGCAATTGGAGGATGTTCACAAGATTAAGCACAGTACGACATAACGTTAATACACAATTTTCATATTAACGCCCATATATGGGCATACTATAAGTGCAGCAGTGACTTGCTCAGTAACTTGAAAAAATATGTTATTTTGTTATTTTGGGATACTGAGTTTTTTATCACAATCACAAGTCGATGAGCATCTACCTATTTATTTAAACACACATCTACATGATGTAATTAAAAATTTAATCTGAAAAATGCATGTAAGAACATTTTTCTCTTAAAACCTTTCAAATATTACAATATCTTAAATATCATTTGGGGACACAATGAATCCAAGACCTATGATCTTTACAATAATTTTAAAGAGTTGTTTCACCCTATTGCGAGAAATTCAAGTATTTTCATGACTAATCTGACATTTTCATTTTCTCAATAATATATATACTGTAGTACTATATTCACGAAACAGGGTACAATATAAAAATAGATTTTGAAGTGTACCCGGACAAGGTTGAGTATTGCACAGTTGGGACTCCCGCAAGGCTCCTGGACATGGTGCCCCCTCATAGAATGGCCCAATACATGTGCGGTGGCGCCACTCTACCCCACCACCACAAGTCACATTACAGTCGATCCAATCTCCCCAAGTCGTCAATATTCCATCAACTGAAATACATATGACATTCTGTACATTTAATAACAGCAGAGAGCATTTAGCATATGGTACCCAGTACCCGGTACCCAGTTTTTTCTACAAACCCCAATGGTTGACTTACTTTCAAACATATATTGGAAATTGAACTGAAAATCTTCATATCACAAGACATTAGATGACTTGACCCAAATAATGGCTTAAATAAGGACTGGATAACAACTTGAATAAACAAAGTACACAAATCAATCATGAAATTCTGAAATAACAATGATACAATTTTATAATAGGCATTACCTGGGCAGAAGTGTGTATTGCACATCCTGCTCTCTGTGAGAGGTTCTGCGCAATCTTTGCCATCATAGAAAGGTCCAATACAATGTCTGACTCTGTGAGTTACCCCTCCTCCGCACTCCAAACTACAATTCTCCCAGTCACCCCACTTTGACACATAGCCATCAACTGGAAAATAACATATTGGTAGTTTTAACATTTGACACATAGCCATCAACTGGAAAATAACATATTGGTGGTTTTAACATTTTTCAAGGGTGTTTCTTCAAAAATAATATATTGTTAGTTCTACATTGTTTTTTCAAGGGTTTTCTTTGCATATTAGAAACAAAACATGAATTGATTGTTAAATCTCTAACAAAAGAGGCACCAGTATGTTACTGTCAGGTTTGAGCTGGTCATAGTTTGGGATGTTGGTGTTTCTATTCTTATAGCTGGTTGTACTTTGTTTTTTTTATCTAAGTAATGAACAGGATCTACATATCTTAATTTGCTCAGTTTTAATTATTAAATGTAATTTCAGGATTACAAAATGAACAGAATGAGATCAAGCAATGCATTAAGAAAGATACCAGTTTACAATATTATTTCAATCACGTGTGTAGTATTTATATCTGTAAAAAGTGCAGCAGTAAGAATTATCTGGTTTTATCATTCCTAGAATTCTCAGAGAATAACAGTGCACTCACTATAACATGCAGATATCAAACTTGACACAATGCTCATCAAACAAGTTACTAAAACTGCATCATAACACACTGAAACAGGGAGATAACTAATAGAATGTCTACCAGGGCAATGGTGAGTGTTACAGGACTGGGATTCATTGAGGGCACCGACACAATCTACTCCATTATAAAATGGTCCATAGCAAGTTCTGTATCGCCACTGCACCCCCGCCCCACACTCCAGGCTACAAGGGTCCCATTCTGACCAGGGAGTCAATTCACCATCCACTACAAGAAACAATGTAGGATATGAATTGAGACAACATTCTACAAAATATAAGATATGATCTCACTGAACTAAAGGTAGCATTATCAATAGCTTAAGGTGGCTAAAGTGGGATGTTAAAGTGGGCCTTTCGGGATATAAAAGTGGCCTTATTGCAATGTTAAGGTAGATTCAGTGGGATGTTAAGGCGGTCCTATTGGGATTTTAAGGTTGCTCTAGTGGGATGTGAAGGTTGCTCTATTGGAATGTTACAGTGGCTCTAGTGTGATGTTAAGGTGGCTCTAATGGGACGTTAAGGTGGCCATATTGGGATTTTAAGGTGGCTCTAGTGGGATGTGAAGGTGGCTCTAATGGGATGTGAAGGTGGCTCTATTGAAATGTTATGGTGGCTCAAGTGTGATGTTAAGGTGGCTCTAATGGGATGTTAAGGTGGCCATATTGGGATTTTAAGGTTGCTCTAGTGTGATGTTAAGGTGGCTCTAGTGGGATGTGAAGGTGGCTCTAGTGGGATGTGAATCTGGCTCTAGTGGGATGTGAAGGTGGCTCTATTGGAATCTGAATCTGGCTCTAGTATGATGTCAAGGTGGCTCTAGTGGGATGTAAAGGTGGCCCTATTGGGATTTTAAGGTGGCTATAGTGGGATGTGAAGGTGGCTCTAGTGGGATGTGAAGGTGGCTCTATTGGAATGTGAATCTGGCTCTGAGTATGATGTCAAAGTGGCTCTAATGGGATGTTAAGGTGGCTCTAGTAAGATGTTAAGGTGGCTCTAGTGGGATGTTAAGGTGGCCCTATTGGGATTTTAAGGTGGCTAGAGAGGGATGTGAAGGTGGCTCTAGTAGGATGTGAATCTGGCTCTAGCGGGATGTGAAGGTGGCTCTATTGGAATGTGAATCTGGCTCTAGTATGATGTCAAAGTGGCTCTAATGGGATGTTAAGGTGGCTCTAGTAAGATGTTAAGGTGGCTCTAGTGGGATGTTAAGGTGGCCCTATTGGGATTTTAAGGTGGCTCTAGTGGGATGTGAAGGTGGCTCTAGTAGGATGTGAATCTGGCTCTAGCGGGATGTGAAGGTGGCTCTATTGGAATGTGAATTTGGCTCTGAGTATGATGTCAAAGTGGCTCTAATGGGATGTTAAGGTGGCTCTAGTAAGATGTTAAGGTGTCTCTATTTGGATTTTAGGGTGGCTCTATTTGGGATTTTAAGAGGGCTCTAATAGGATGTTAAGGTGGCTCGAGAGGGATATTAAGAAAGGTTTAATAATGGTTTCTGAACCTGTATAAACCAACTAATTTGCCTAAATTAAGTCTTAATATATTTGGAATGTACTATTAAGGAAATTATTTTGAAAAAATCTTGACAAGAATTAATTTACCAGTAGTTTGTAGTGTCATACCTGGACAATGATGGATATTACAATCTCGTGTTTCATTGAATTCCCCATCACACTCTAATCCTCCATAGAAAGGACCCAAACATTCTCTAAATCGTGACTGTCCCCCTCCCCCACAGCTTACATTACACATTGTCCAGTTAGACCAGGGCTCAAATACTCCGTCAACTGAAATATCAGGATGTTCCTCTATACTAGGGTCACATCAACATAAGTGCAGTAGTAAAATTATAAGTTTGAGTTGAATGAAGGGTAAGAAGGAATATACACCCAGGATATACACTACATTATCATCTTATTTCATTTTCAATTTTCTGAACCACCAACCTGAAGAGTTAAACGATTCAATAAACAAAAATTCCCGATATGCTATATATTTAGTTTTATGTATTTCTGATATTTGCATGTACTTTAATTAATTTTTTTCTTTTTTTTGAAGTTTACTAGTATGTTATGTTGTTATAAAGGTTAATCATATTTGCTCATGGATATGCATGTATGCTTTCTGGTCATCTCAACCCCAAGTCAACTCAACCCAGTAAAACTCAACCACAAGTCAACTCAACCCCAACTTGACTTGGGGTTGACTTGACTTGGGGTTGAGTTTGACTGGGTTGAGTTGACTTGAGGTTGAGATGACCTGTCACCTGTATGCCATAGCTTAAATTGCTTTCATATATTCTTATTAAAGTACTGATTCAATGGATGAATACCTGGACAAGGATGTGTCTGACATTCCTGAGTTTCATTCAAATGTTCACTACAGGGTGTACCACCATAATAGGGCCCTTCACAGATTCTGTCTCTGCTCTGTACACCCTGTCCACATGATTTCGTACATTCTGACCAATTGCTCCAATCTGATACTCTACCATCAACTAAGTAAATAATTAGCTGAATTAAAATTTGAATGAAATACAGCGACTTTGTGCATAAGCCACTAGAAAGCACATGGGTACATGTATGGTCATTTTTATTTTAAAGTACTACATTACAAGAGTACTGCATAATTACCTTTTAAGGTGACTTTTGGGCTCCAAATGATTTTTGCCTAAATGGGCCAAGAATTTAAAAAATTAAATGCTAGATCAGCCTCCGACAATTTTTGTCTCATCAACAACAAAAAAGGTTGCCCATTTGTGAAATCCTAGCTAAGGCAATGATATATGAAATACTTTAAACATACTTGGACAGTTGTGGGTATTGCAATTTTTATGTTCTTTAAGAGGACCATTGCAGTCTTTCCCACCATAAAATGGGCCTTGACATGTGCGCTCTCTGCTATGTGTTCCTCCCCCGCATGTCTTATCACATTGCAACCAGTCTGACCACATACTCAACACACCATCCACTGAAGTGAAGCACATTTTACGATGGAAAATGGAAAAATTTCCTCCAAAATAAGTTATATATTTGTGGGGATTATCAACACAGCAACACGGTAACAAACACTATCTCCACATCATCTAATATGTGTGACAGGAACAGTTGATGAATGCTAACACCACCATGTGCATGTACACATCACAAATGACATCTTTTAATTAAGCTTAACTGTATTACAAATGCTACCAATGTCATAATACATGGCAGATACCATAGACTAAAGGGTAATAGCAATTTTAAAATAAAGATAGCGGTATTTTCACATATCTCCATAAAATCCAACACTGCTACCACCTTTATATCTACCTAAAACCTATGACACGACCACGACTGATGCTACCTCTATTAGCTACTATACAGTCAATAAATAGACATTGGACCAATAACATGTAACATCTCTTACAACATTTTATTCTCAAGACCAGGAACAAATTTTACTGCTGCACTTATTTAGCTCATTGTGACATATTTAGCTCATTGTGACATCATACAATTTATTCACAAGACACAAACAACATTGATAGCACAATTACATTGTTCTTACAAATATCCAAGTATAAAAGAGATGCTCAGGTAAAATGTAGGTCTGTCAACCATTTCAATAAAATCATTGGATTTAAGTCTGAGACAATGCATTATAAGTCAACATAGCACCCTCTCAGAATTGTGCAAAATAACACTTTTTTGAAAATGTACAAAATTATTTTTCAAAATCATTTCCTACAGACATGCTCTCACTTGTGCTCATTTCTTAAATCACATGATATATTTTCAAGGTAAATTGAGATTTTGTCATATTTCCCACAGAAGCCCACTGTTAATATGAACATTTTCAATGGTATAGTAAATCATCACATGTTTTGTTTTAAGGTTGATGCTTTGTTGTTTATAAATTGGTTCATAGAAGGAACACAACATAAAAGGCTACCTAAGCATCTCTTCAAACAGTAAATCAACAAATGTATGTTAAGACATTATTTGATAATTAGGCCACATTTTTAGTTGTGATTTCTATATGTAGTTATGTACCCTCTAGTCAATTATACAGCTAATTACCCCCTCCCCTCCACCCCTCTGCATATAAAAATCACAGCTAAATTTTGCTAAACAAATTGTGCTTATAAGCATAATGAGAATATATGACAAAGATGAAAAGATGACATGTACATAAGCCTATATATGAAATTAAATAGGGAAATAATATCACATTTAACCTAAAATATGTTAACCTCACTTAACTTCATAAAAACCATTAGAACAAGGCATTAACATGGAAAATGTCACCACCTGCCATTTGTTACAGACACCGAACCCCAACCACCAACCACCAACCGCCATCACAATGAAGTTGGAAACCATAATAATATGTCGCCACTTTTGGTGGTGACAAGAAAAATGGAGGTTTATGTAAAATATAATAATATGAACACAGCAAATGTTATACCTGGACATGGATGAATGTTACATTCTCTGGACTCATTTCTTGCACCGACACAATCTTCTCCTCCGTAAAAAGGCCCAGTGCAAACCCTATTACGTCTTTGTATCCCTCCACCACATGAAACATTGCACGATTCCCAATCGGACCATTTTTCAAAAACCCCATCAACTGCAAACATACAACATGCAAATAAGTACCTTTTTATTGGATTTGAAGGTCATGGAAATTGGCATTTGTGATTAAATATTAAAATCTAATCTCAAAAGTTGTTTTCTGCCACGCAATTTCCCAATGAATTCATCAATAACAACTTAAGAGATAAGATGATTGTTCTTATCTGATCTCATTTTCTAATTAGAAATCTCTTAATTATTTATGAATGCATGTCTAGAATGAAAAATAAGCATGTTGTATGTCAACAGAAATTGGTATTTTCTCGGGATTACAGTGTTTCAATACATTGATTCTACTGACAGGGTCAATAAACCATAGACCCACAAATGTAACAATTATGTTTTGGGGCCGGGGAAATGGGTAAAAATCCATCCTGCTATGCTGGAGTAAATAAGAGAGTGACTTTAATAAATGTTCAATGAGAATTTTTCGATGGTGAAAGGCAGTCAACCTGAAATATAATTTACATTTTTATACAACACTGAAATTCTATAGTAAAAAAGAACATGTAAAACAAAAACATGTAAAACAACATTACATTGACGAACACTCACCTGGGCAAAATGCAGTATTACAGTCCCGAGTTTCATAACTTGGCCCTTCACATGGTGATCCCCCATGGGCTTGTCCCGTACACTCCCTGCTTCTCGACTGTTGACCCCCAGCACATGTGACGCTACAGTCACCCCAGGTGCTCCATTGAGTATACTCACCATCAACTACAACAAGTAAATCCTAATGTTTAGCATACAGGAAATGAATATTGTAACATAGTATAACTATTTGATAATCTCTCATTTTGATGACACACATATAATAGAGAAGTGTTAAGATTTTAACTATGATATATTCAATACAGAGAACAAAGAGCAAAGAGAACTTTATTTGCATCTGTATTGATATTAAAAAAGTTCTGTCATTTCAATTTGGTAAAACTTTGTACTTATGCAATGTTTTATCTTGATTTTGCAAATGATATGGAATACAAAAATGCAAATATACTTTTAAATTGGCCTATCCCCTATATCATTAAATACTAAATCATTTAAATCTTACCATGAATTCAGATAAAATTACATATACTTTTATGTTGGTTTTATCAGCATATCCATTCCAGTGATTGAAAAAGCACATTGGGCAACAATTCAAATTAAAAACAATTATAAATCATGCAATCAAGTATAATGTCAACTACATGGCTAATCTACTTTCTAACTCTACATAGGCTGGGATGCTATGAGGCTTAGGGCAAGGAGCTATACTCCATAATATAAAACCTGGCTCCAGTTAACGGTATCTGAAAGCATATAAATAACAACACTTTAAGCTATAATCAGTGATCTTAACGATCACATTTTCATTTAAATGAGAGTTAGCGCAGACACATCAGAATGAGCCCAACAGGATGAGGGAGAAACATGCAACCTTGCCCTGAGAGGTGCATGCAAAACAATTTGCTTATCTACATAAAGAACTGAAATAAGGGCTATTCACATATTCAGACCATCTGGGGTCATCTTCAAACATCTAATGCAGAGTTGTGCAATTTATGCACACTCATTTTACAACTGTGTTCTAGGGAGGGGTAAGACGATAACTAGAAAACAGCAACGCCAAAGCGTAACAAATCCCATCGAACAGTCATGCCCAAGTGAAAAAACAGTTTGCCATATCATTCAAATACACAACTAATAACCTACTAGTACTCAATTAGTAGATCATGATATATAAGTGATCTGTAACGGGTGATTTTCGTTAATAGACAACTTTTTGCTCTGGAGTTAACAGGTGGTTTATTAGTTAATCAATCAGTCACAATGTAAATGAAATAAAATTATTGACCAATCATAGAGAAATACAATACACTACTAATACACCACCATACAACACTAACATATCACTCCCTGAAGTCTTAAACACCACAAATACACGACTAACACACCACTCCTTAAACATCTTCTACTTACCTTTCTAATTATGTTGAACAAGATTCAATAATTCCAAGTACTCTTCTGGTTGTAATGCTACATTTCAAAATGGCCGCTTTCTAGCCAAAGAATCATAAAACAGTGTGCCATGCTTATGAGTATTCACATCTCAAATATGAACAAAACTGCTCAAAAACCTTTCAAGCTAAGGCAAAAATCGTAAAATAGGGCCGTGTATTAAAGCCGCCATTTTTTTAGATGGCTATCAAGTGTTTCTTAAATACCTATATTTCTAGCTTTACTAATTGTACTATATAACTTATTTACATTTCAAACATATTGCTATTACAGTTTTATGTATATTGTAACTAAATTACTGTAAAATCGGCACTAAAATGGCTTCCATTTTTAAACGAGTGATCATTTTGAAAATTAGCTTCTGAGAACTTTTACACCTATAGGGCATATGTGTACAAAATATGAACAAAATTGGGCCAACAGTATTTGAGTTACCGCCTGGACGGATGGACAATGTATGGACAGATGGATGGAGGCATTCCTTATATCCCTCTGAACTTCATTCAATGGGATAATAAAGCATGTGATCGAGTGTGCAAAAAGGAATCAACTCCAGGTTATCTGAATATGTTATGATCTGAATGTTGAAATAATAAAAATAACACATCTATTGTGGAAGACAATGGGCCTAGTAAAGAATTTCACTATGTACTGATTGCATCTCATTTTCTCTTGCAATATTGTTAAAACCAAAGTGAATCATTTTCATTGCTTTCACATTTTACATTTTTTTCAAAATATCAACATCTTGACCAATAAAATGAGTGGATAGTCATCATGTGACCATTGCTTTTGTTGATGAATAGAAAGACTGCAACAATTTAGCATCATGAATTGCGTATCTTTTTGTGAATAAATAACAAATCAGATTAAAACTCTTAAAAATCATGGAATGAACGTATATGTCAAACAACAGATTCACTCTTTACTAGCCACTCTAAAGACATGACATGTGTATGACATGCAGATGTACAGATGATTGTTTTACACATGCAGATATTTCCATATTGGGCTCTAAAGATGATGCCAGAAAACGCATGCGCATTCTACAATTGTATGAATTATAAATCACAAAACAGCGACATGTTTCAAATAGACCATTTTCATGTTCAACAATCAAGCTTGTATGTCATCTAACAACAACATTACACTGGCCTATTTCAAACAGTCATTCACCGCACAAAATACTAACAACGATTTATATTTTTAATAAAAAATGAGTTTAAATCTAATTACGTTCCCGCGTTCATAATCATGTGTCACAGCGAGGACTGACAAAGCTGTCACATTATGCAGCTGTCACACATTATGTCCATTGGTCTTGTCACTACTACTCATGCTTCTACCATTATGCACAAATGCAACCATATATGCATCCATTGAAAAAAGGTTGACATCCATTGAAAAAAGGTTGAAATCCATTGAAGATGGTTGAATTAGTGTCAAGGCATTGTCCAATCAAGTGCTTGCACTCAACCATGATGCTATATTTCATGTTGAAATGTTCTCAGTGTTGGGAAGATGTGATAATCATTGTCCAATGTGATAATAAGAATTTAAATATGATATGTTACACTATATTAAAATGTTGAATTAATCTATCTTAATCTACAAAGATATCTAATATATTCTATTTCTAAACTAGTTTTATACTGTTAACTATTGTTGATACTGGAATATAAGCATGCAATAAAATACTACATGTACTAATTTTCAAACAAGAACACAAATGTGTACAACATGTCCCCACCAAAGGGTGATCTTATATTCTGCAAATTTTTCATCCTGAATGCCTAACACTAATCAGTTGAAAAGACAAGATTTTAAAATTTGAAATAGATCTACCAAACGATTCACCTGAAAACGCGTAGACAAGACTTTACAGACAAGATTTTAGGACAGAAAATCCAAAATGGCTGCCTTGACATTTACCCAGAATGCCAAAAAACTAATCAGACCTAAATTTTCATACTCAGAATCATTCCTGAAAATTTGAAATTGATCTACCAAAGGGTTCACCTGAAAACACAGACAAGACTTTACAGACAAAATTTAAGGATGTAAAAATCCAAAATGGATGCTGATTTCTTTTTACAAAATTATCGCATATAACTACTGTTAACAATAACATAGGCTTTTACGACAAAGTAAACCTGAAATTATTTCTAAAGCTACTAAATAGTTAAAGTATGACAACTCAAAACACCATTCAAATATGATACAAAGTATTATTGCATGCTAACTTTTCTTAAGACATTCAAAATGGCTGCAATGACTGAGCAAACAGGTCCAAAACCTAATCAGATGTAGAATGAAGTGAGCGGAACAAGATGTTGAAGTTTTAAAAGCAACTGTGAAGCAGTTTTTCTTTAAGTTTGCAGGCAAGGATTTCAGCATTTGACAGGAAGTAGGTATAGAGTTAACATTTTTTCATTCACATCTGTTTGTTTGATATCTGTTGCAGTTTTGGAGAAAACTGCCGGATGTACGGGCATCATTTGTTGCTGCTGCATCAGTGTCTTCATTCGTTGTCTTCTTTCTTCTTCATTTGTCTTGATTTGATTGTTGTCTTGATTTGATTCTTCAGGGTCCACAGACTTGAGACTGCATGTAGGTGGGTTAAACGTTTTGATCTGACGGACAGACGAATGGACGAACAGACAGACGGATGGATGGACGGATGCGCCTAGGCCGACAATATGGCCCCACACTATGTGGTGGGGACATAAAAACTATTTTTGTCTTAAAAATAAATTGAACATAATAAAGAACTATATTCCAAATCTAAAAAGGATCCAATATTTGTTTTATTTTAAGCAATAATTGCCTTTTAATTGGCCAATGTAAGTTCAAATGGGAGTGAATTGGCAAAATTTCAAAAAACATCATATAAGAGTCTGTATTATAAAATATAAGGTTGTCATTTCCTCAAATATTATTTGTTTTAAAGGTAGGAATGCAGGCATGACATGAAGTATGTATAAAGTATTGTGGTATCATCAATGGGAATGACTAACTAGATTTATCCCACTGACCCAACAGTTCAATTATTGTTTACATTTTGAAAAATTGTCATATCACTCCCCGTTTGGTTCAAGAGAGTTCCACTACATGCTAGTATAGCCACAGTTCATAAATTCTATAGACTACTATTTTATATCTAGTCTCATGCAATGGTTGTTTGAAAGGGTTTTTACTATATTGTTTTTAAACTGCATCACTATATTGGTGAATGAGGAAGACCACAACAAACTGGGTCTTTTGTCTGAATCACCCCTTCAATTAGTGAACTGTTGACCATCTAGACTAATGTGTAATTGTAACTAATCTGAAGTCAATGGGTTTGTTTAAGTCATTGTCAGCGTTCAATGCGTACCTGGACAAGCTTGGGTACTACATGTATCAGTTTGAGTATCAGCCCCAACACAATCTTGTCCATTATAATATGGACCATCACATTTCCTTGTTCGTTCTTTTTTACCACCAGCACATGAAGAAGAGCATTTTCCGTACTCTCCCCATTCAGACCATTTTCCATCAACTAAAATAAGATGGTTAATGAAACGATACATAATGGATCACAGACATCCAGGATTTAATAAACATATGATTTAGAAAGTTTAAACATTAGCCATTTACTTACTAGGACATGGGAAAGTGTTACAGAATTGTTCCTCACTGAAGTGACCTGTACAGTTGGCACCACCGAAGTATGGTCCATTACACTCTCTAATTTTCACTTGCGTACCATTACCACAAGACACAGAGCACTCAAACCAATCACCAAACTCTTCCCATTTACCATCAACTAGAAAAATCATTAATAAGTCTTTTAATATTCCAAAATATGACATCAAAAGGGCTAAATGGATAGTGGAAGAGAACTTATTATAAAATGGAGATTTTGTGGGATATGTAAGCTAGTTCAGAAAAGGAATATAAAATGTGTCACTGCCACAGATCTCATTTGTAAGAAGATGGAGGAAAACAAAATGTGTGGGGGATTGTAGAAGATAAGAGCTAGAAGAACAAGGTGGGGAAGAAAGGAAAAGAAAGAGAAATTATTGTAAAATGGAGACTTTGGTGGGGTGTAAAAGCAAGCTAGTTAAGAATAGGAAGATGTACATGTCACTGACACAGGTCTTTTTTGTTAGAAGATGGGGGTGAATAAAGTGTAAGAGAGTTTCATAGGATAACTGAAATGAAGATGGTAGAAGGTAATACGCTATAAAAATAAGGTGGGGAAGACAAACTTTGATGTAGACGTTCTCTTTATAATACACAATGGACATCCTGGCAGTGCCTCTCAAAGGAAGTTGTGGAACATCAAGGGCATCATGGGGCACTTCTTTAGTGGCAATGGATTTGAGAGGAATTGAACATCAAAAATAAAAGTCTTCATACGTATGGACGGATGGACACGCCTAGGCCGACAATATGGCCCCACACTATGTGGTGGAGACATAATTATTAGTTTTCACTTTTCAGTAATGCTGTCCCATAATGTATAGCACATAATTTTTGAGGTTGTGAGACACAAGATTTAACTTTGAGGTAAAATTGCAAAAAATAATCGTTGAATTTGTTATTACCTGGGGCTTTGATGTGTTTCGTTTTGTGTAAAATGTTTGCCCAGTGTTGTTGGGTGATAAATGGAATACTACCAACAATGTATCTTACACTTGCTTCATATAGTAAGTTCACTTGCCTGGACAGGAGTGGTCGTTACATGTGGACATGCTAACACTTAAACCAATGCAGTCCTTCCCTGAATAATACGGTCCAACACATATCCTTTCACGTAGCTTATTTCCACTTCCGCAACTTACATCACATTCCCCATAAGGACCCCAGTTATCCCAGACACCATCAACTGAAATCACACAAAAGACATCTAGGATGTCAAGTTTAATCATTATGCTTGTACGTAGCTATATGCTCTGTAACAATTTTGTAGTCCTTTCCCTTTGGCATTTGTGCATACATAGCTACATTTAGAAAACAACAAATATGCAATCCTAAAACACATAAAGTTAACCAGAATTGATAAATCTTTACCATTCAACAGAGATATACAAACTCAACATACAGTATACCTTAGACCGATAAAAAATATATTCATCATTATCATTTTAATGCTGTATAGGATTTGTTTCTCTATGGATAATGTTATTTCTAAATGCTCTTTCAAGCCTTTTCTAGTATGAATAACCTCTTTAGTTTAGGTAGTAATATTCAGTATATATATGTAATAGTAATGTTGCAATGTGTTTACCAGGGCAAGGGTGTTCATTGCAGTTCTCTTCCTCTGATGCAGGCCCTTCACATTCAGCCCCTCCATAGTAGGGTCCCTCACACTCCCTACTCCTTTCCTTAAGACCTCCTCCACACTCAACTGAACATTTGCTCCATTCTACCCATTCATCCCAAATACCGTCAACTAAAAAAAGCGTGATGAAAATTAATAAACTGAAAAACAAAAGAAAGTTCTTCTCAGAGGAATTAATCTGTCTCAGGAATCAAAATGGAAATAAATTAGGAGTAGTAAATTCAACAGCAGCCAAAATAAATAATACATGATGCAATAATAACAACAAATAACACAATGAACTATTTTTCAAGACCATGATAGTAATGTTGCAATGTGTTTACCAGGGCAATGGTGTTCATTGCAATTCTCTTCCTCTGATGCAGGCCCTTCACATTCAGCCCCTCCATAGTAGGGTCCCTCACACTCCCTACTCCTTTCCTTAAGACCTCCTCCACACTCAACTGAACATTTGCTCCATTCTACCCATTCATCCCAAATACCGTCAACTAAAAAAAGCGTGATGAAAATTAATAAACTGAAAGACAAAAGAAAGTTCTTCTCAGAGGAATTAATCTGTCTCAGGAATCAAAATGGAAATAAATTAGTAGTAGTAAATTCAACAGCAGCCAAAATAAATAATACATGATGCAATAATAACAACAAATAACACAATGAACTATTTTTAGAACTATAACAATGTGGGACACAAATAAATATGGGACATTGATACAAGACTAAAAAGAGAAGACACAATAGCAAATACAAATAAGTCATGAAGACTTTTTAGAATTGACGAGGACACAATATTGAATTAAACGCTCATGTACGCAGCTACTTCATTTTGTTCCACTTAAAAATATTTACTCCACTGTGCAAGACCGTGTAACATTGATACAAGAGGTAGAACAAAACAAAGACACAAAAGAAGGCAACATTGCATTTACAAATAATCAACACGGGGACTTTTTCTAGAATCAACAAGACAGGATTCAATAAACTCTTAATAGTGATACAAGACAAAAAAACACAAAAAGAAAGCATCATGGCATATACAAATAATTCACAGGGACAATACAGTTTTAGAATCAACTTTACAGGACATAATACATTCTTGACATTGAAACAAGACAGAGAACAGACAGAAGACACAAAACAGAAAGCATAACTGCATACATAAAAAGTCACAAGCACTAATTTTAGAACTGAGTAGACTCCAAATACATGACAAAACACAAGACACAAACACACATGTCAAGAACTAACAATGTCAAATATACAGATATACAAATAACTTACTAGGACAATTTTCAGAATTACACTTCTGAAATTGAAAGCTTTCTCCAAGACAATATTTCCCTCCATGTAACTGACCAAGACATTCCCGAGTTCGGCTTTGTGATCCTCCGCCACATGTAACATTGCAATCTTCCCAATCCTGCCATTCTGACCACTTTCCATCAACTTAACAAATAATGTTTTAATTGAAAGAATAAATAAATGAAAAATAACTAAACTGGCTCATGTGAATATGCGATATGATTTGTGATTATGTAATCAACATCATTATAAATCTATGCCTACTTGGACAGGGGTGGGTATTGCAATGCCTAGTTTCAGCCTCAGGACCATCACATTTTTCCCCAAGATAGAAAGGGCCATTGCACACTCTTCTACGTGACTGGCTACCAGAATTGCACGAAAGAGAACAATCTGACCATTGAGACCAATCATCCCAAATTCCATCAACTAAAATGAAAATAATGAAGAAAATAAATCAATATAAAAGTGAGTAAATCAAATCAGGTTATGAGATTTAAAATGACCAGCCAAAACCTTTCATTTTCAGATGGAATCATTCATTCATATGTACTTACTAGGGCAATAGTGGGTGTTGCATTGTCTCTCATTTTCTGTGTCTCCAGTACATGGGGCACCATTATAAAATGGCCCAATACATGCTCGCCTTCTTGATTGTGATCCTCCACCACATAACTTTTTGCATTCACTCCAGGTTCCCCATGATTCCCAAATACCGTCAACTACATGGTATAACAGTGGTAATTTATTAGAAGTATTCTTCACTAACTCATGCATAATGCAATATGTGATAAGCCATACCTGACTTCAAGTGCAACAAAGGAAGCATAAACACTTAAACAGAAAGATCGAAGAGTGTTTAACATTGAACAAGTGATCCTTTGAGAATTAAACAACCTTAACTCAATTATGCTGACCCAAAATGATTAAATTAATCAATAAAATGAGGGTGAAGACCCTTGATCATTGTCCTTTGCATTATTTATGTCACTTGCCAATAGTAAGTCAAGCAATTTTAAGTAAGTATAAGTATAAATATCATGTCACTACGCACTAGTGCAAAAGAATTAAAATAGCAAAAAATGAAACACGTAAAGGTACAACCAGACATAAGGAAAACAAACCCAAATATCCTTAACTATGATTCGATATGTAAAAGAAATGTCTATCACCCATTCCCAAGAGACCATTATCCCAAACAAAGACCACAGAACCATGAGATAAGCAACAAATGTTGATGCAACAAATATATGGTACATAGTGTATAAACACATAATGTTGTTAATTTCTATGAAAATCATCTTAATAATGCAGTGAAGGTTACATAGGCAGGCATGCATTTCAAACCTGGACAGCTAGGCTTTGAGCATGGCTTGGTTTGCATTTCTTCCCCTTCACATGCTGTACCACCTCGTAGATTTGGAGGATGTGTACATGTTCTTATCCTGGTCCGTATTCCTTCTGCACAAGTGACAGAACAGTTTCCCCATTTACTCCAATTTGCCCAGTCACCATTAACTGCAAGATATATAAGTAATATTAAATATTGATAATCAACATTAAATATGGATTAACTCTAAATAAAATAGTTCTCATTATCTTAGTTATTTCAGATGAATAGAAGAAATCAATCCTAATCAAAACATGAACTTATAAATCCAAATATTTTCAAAATTGTTCTGAATTCTAAAAATAACCTAAAAGACAATGATTTACCAATGCATTTGATACCAGCTGATATGAGACAGTTTGCATTGCTTTTCCACCCCTCATGGACACATTGTTGTAGGGCCACTTCATCACCTTTACAAGACTTCATCGTCAGGTAGTCACCATTGGGTGGGGATCCACTTTTATATACTGAATTACATTGTAAAAATATTAAACACTGTCTAGACTTCACATACTGTACATGTATGTCAAAGGCTATAGCTAATAAGCTTACCCGAGTCAAAAAGTAAATCTCTTTTGTATTCTCTCTTTTTATAATCAATCTTGAATATTTTCAATGCCTTTAATGAATAAATAAAAAATGTTTGTCAGACCATGTTAAATAGCAGTAATTTTAAGTCAGTGTAGGTGGATTTATAGATAAATGTATGCCTTTAATGTGTACCTTGATCCAATCCCACAAATCCTATTTGCTTGCATGCGATGTCACCAGCTGATGTATCGAAGCCATCATAACAAATGTCTCCCCAAAGTTTAGTTTTATCATTGTAGATTTCAATTACACCCTCACCATATTCTTCTCCCCTTGCAAGCTTTAGTGGAGCTGAAGTAATGATATAAATATATTAAATTATCCTCATGTTTTTTTCCAAGATAAACTTTCATATTGACAAATTGCACAAAGAAGAGCATTATTTCTGCAGAATACAATCATACAAATAAATTAAGTTCTTTCCATGTTATGCATGCTAATGTTGACAAAATGTGAATTTCTAAGCATAATTTCAGCAGATAACCATTGCTTCATTTACCATCACATGAAGGTTCTTCGCATGGGGTTGTTTCATTTAAAGGTCCCATACACAGTCGATCCTTCCCTGGGATTCCACCGTTTGAACATGTTCTTGTGCGAGTCTTAAATCCTCTTCCACATGTAGTGAACGTGGAACACTCTTCCCAATCACTCCAACTTTCCCATCCTAAGAGGAATATATGAGTACAACTTAGAGTTGATTTATGTCATTTTGAATCCATGGAATTCTTGTAAGCATAAATTTTATAATATAACTGAAGGTGCATTATGCAATACTCGTGTTCCTGACTTAATTCTAATTGAAATGCTTTTTCCTACTCTACAACTCATTTAAATTTAAACTTCTTACTAGGACAGTCTGCCACCGTGCATATCTTGAACTCCATATCTCTTCCAAAGCAGTCCAATGGGGAGACTTCTTTGTTTGCTAGACTATCCATGCATCTGCGCTTGCGATGACTGTAGCCATTTCCACACGTCACTGAACACACTGACCACTCCTCCCAATCACCCCAATCTCTATGTCCAGCTGTAGAAATATAACATATAGGGTTCATGTCTAAGTTAAAAACATGACTGCCGCAATTAAACATTGAAGGGCATTCAGCTCAATAAAGCGGCCAGTTTTCCAAGTCTACTGCTAAGAGCAAATATTTGTTGCGATTGGCAGTCAGGCAGCAATAAGTGAAAGGTGATTAACCAAAAGAGAACACAAATAATTCTACGATTTAAAGTGCATGAGAAACCAAATAGCGAGTATTGTTAGTCAGGAACTATATATGAAATAGACAAACCAAGTTTGATCCATTAGGTATGAGACAACAGCCAGGACAGTGGAATAATCTTTTAGAAAAAAATATACCCATCCTGAGAGAAAACAACAATTGATTCTACAATTCTAAACATATTAAATTACCTGGTTCTGTGCAGTTGGTACCTCCCCACTTCTCCTTGCATATACAGGCATATGATGGTTTTCCATTTGCTAGCTCTGTGTTCATACAGTAGCCGTCATTCTTACACAGGTCCTTCTGACATACTCCAACAGCATCCTTTAATATAACAATTTAGAAGCATATCTCTTTGAATATAATAATTTAGAATCATCTCTGAATATAACAATTTAGAATCATACCTGTTTGAATCATGCCCGGTGATCCTACGAAATGGATGGAGGGGGATTAGGCGATTTCTGCAAGATAACTCAACAAATTTGGAAGATTTATTTTTTCAAGAGAAAATTTACAACTGAATTGCCAAATGAATAGGTGCAGTGCATGGCAAAATATGTTAGGTCATCTAGTATTTTTTTTGAACTGATACCCTTCTAAGATATGAGATCTATTAAAAAGGCGCACCATTCCCAATGTGCAAAAGTCAATGTTTTTGCTGTAAATCGGGCAACAATGGTCTACACGACCTGTAATAAATATAGGTATAAGGGACGTTATTATTTAAGGAATAAATAATGATAGGCCATTCAATATGGTGAAATTCAGCACGAGTTGGACAGAATGTTGTACAAAGCACGAACCGAAGGTGAGTGCATTTGTACTAACATTCTGTCCAACGAGTGCTGAATTTCACCATATTGAATGGCCTATCATTATTTATTCCGATTCAAACATAAAAATTAGTAAAAGCCATGTCTGTGGAACGGGCATGAAGGAAGAATACGCATGCTGTCAAGATTCTGAAGTCGGCCGGAAAAATTTTAGAATTTGTTTGGGCTGTTCTATTTTACTCCCCGTTTTAGATTTTATACGGTGTATGCAAACATGGGGTGTTGATAAAATAGTTACAGTAGTTACGGAGGGAGTAAAAAAGAACAGCTATCCCCGGACAGAGCCCCAGATGTGCAGCTGAGATGTGACGTCACTCAAAACAATGCAAATTGCAGATTGAATAGAGCATGGTCGTGCATCTATGGAGAATTAGAGAACGTTCTATATTGGCTATGCTGCATTCTGATTGGTTGAGAAATTCGAATAGAGCACGGTCATGTTTGAATACAATACTAATGACATTGCTCACTTTTTAAAGTTAGTTTCCATGCGTTATACAAAAAATGATCGAAATAAATTAATATTGGATGGAGGGGGGATAGGATGGAGGGGGGGGGATTTAAACATTTTTTGAGTTTTCTTGCAGAAATCGCCTAATCGCCTAATCCCCCCTCCATCCATTTTGTACGATCACCGGGCATGTGAATAGAACAATTTAGAATCATATCTGTTTAAAATAGTTTATCATATAAAAAAAAAAAAATTAAAAAGTTACTAACTATGTGTTGTTAATCTTACATAAATAAAGTTAAATGGGCAACAAACATTAGGGAGTGTAAAATACTAGAAGTAATCTTTTTGAAAAATATGTCAATGCTCTCCTTTCAATCTTAATTTGTTTCTAAAAAGGTTGCTGGGATATTTGATCAAATACAAAAGTAACTGAAGATTTAAGAGGACAATTTTTCTATTCATTGGATTGAGAAAAGAGTTCAATATAATACAGCGATGGAGTGAAGGTCAAATTTTTAACAATTCGATTTAATTTTTCTTGCATTTAATATTTGTGATGTCATGATGCAACTCTATAAGGTGGCACAATGTCATGTTCAACATTTTTTTTCCAATTTTTGAACACAAAATAGGTTCGGACATAATCTATGCATTGATTTAATTTTAAATCATTTATGGATGGATGAATGTGAAACCTAAAATTTTGTACAACAAAAAGTCTTCCATAAGCCACCCTTGCGAAAAATATATGAATTAATTTGAAAGTGCATGTATATTGGTATTGTAGCATTAGATGGTGATCTGGCAACCATAAATCTATGAGCCATAATAAAATCCAATCATATCACGGACACAATATGTGTTCTTCCCCAGCTTTTAAAAACATTTCACCTATCACTTTTACAACATTGAGGAAAGTGCACTCTAAACCATTTTAAACTACACGAGGCGTTCAATCATTGCATTAAAGTTTTAACAAAGAAAAAACACTTACAGGTTCAGCTTGGAACTCCTCTCTTTCAATGTAAACTTTATTTTCTGCTTCAATTAGCTTACTGATATCATCAGCTGTTTCGTCATTCAATTCACAGCTTGCCGCAGATTTGTCAAAATTATACGATTTGCACTGCGGATCTGTGATGCATTCCTTGGCACACTGAGTAACGAGATGTGTTCCTTCAACTAATCTGTATGACCCTCCATACAAAGACTTTCCAATGTTACCTTGGGGATCCTGATCCCATTTGTACTCCTTTTCTGATCTTGAGAGCGGTCTCAATGTTGTTGTTGATATTGGATCAGTTGGAGCAAGTTCCCCATCACCAGATGTGTCTTGTTCAGTAGCATTGTGTTCTTCTACAACTTCAGTGTGTTCATTTATTGGAGCAACAGTTGTGTTGAAGTTATCCTCATTATCAAGTATCTCAACATTTTTTGCAATATGTGGGGTCATGAGAAAAATCAAAAAACAAAAATAGTGAAACATGGTTGTTGGTTTCACTTTTCACTGCTGCTTCTTTAAAATCATTCTTCCCGACTGTTTCAACAAGTTATAAAACCCTAACTTAACATTCCATCGCATTAATTATTTAGAATATATTTCTTTTGCATGCTAAGTCAGATCACTTCTTTAATGAATATCTCAAATGCCAATACTCCATATATTATAACTGGGATGATTTCCCAAGGGACCTTAACAAACTTTGATTTTTATGTTTCGAATTCATCAATTAAAGTCACTATACCCACGGATCTAAATAGCAACTAAACAAATTGAGACACCTTTTCAATTTGGAAAATCCTAAATAAATACATCATTATCTATCAACAAATAAATTGTGAAAGCATATAGTGTTTGTAATGTTACATTTAATGCATTCAGTAAAACATGAGTTAGTAATTAAACACATTCGAAACCAAAATAGAGTTTCACTTTGGAGTTTTTCTACTTAAATTAAAAGGGGTTCATTTATATTTAGTTACATATAACAAGACTTTGGAAAGTGTTCCACTTATGGAGGTGTTCGAAATACAGATGTGTTCAATATAAAGTTTAACTGTACCTGTACATTGCAGGTGTTTGAAGAGCAGAGGAGTCTCTTAGCATTGATGTTGCAGACTCAATGCAGTTGTTAATCACTATGTACACAGTCAGTGGTGGTCTTAGACAATTATCCATTTATTTCTTTTACATTAAGGATATATGCTGATTTTATCTTAATCTGTATCTTTGAAGCCTTTTTTATTTACAGAAAACCAGCCAAAGTAGGTAAGCCTATGTGTGTACTGCATTGAATTAATCAATAAAAGTGTCCTTACCTTTTTGATTATGCCTTTCATTAGAGGTTCAAATATCAACGGCGTTCTTCAAATTTATATTTTTGATCTGAATAAAGGTCAGATACTTTATTCAGAATATGGATTTTTCTGTATAATTAAGGAAATAAAATAGAAAAATAAAATAGTTTTATAACTTATGATGATTTGTTATCGCTGTTAAGGGTGTTTTTGTTTTTATAATATGTTTTTCTTTAACTATTATTTGGGACAGTTATCGTTCCTAATATTCCCTATTTTTAACAAATACATTATTCTGAAAAACGTAGAAGGATAGACAGATGGCTCATTTAAATTAATTTCAAAGAAGTTATCAATCTAGGTTAATTCACCTTATTTAAGAAACTATCTGTTTAGATGTGTGTTTATGGAAAATGAGAAAAATACTGATTCAAAGATGTCATACTAGAAACAGGATGAAATGAATAGATAAGAAGCAAGTAGAATTGTACAAATACTACTGTTTTTTTTACCAACTATATAGTCAAAGTGATATAACTTTTGAAATCTGAAAAATTTCAAAATTGTTTATCAACTTAGAAATCTTAATTTCTTTGAAATATTATTTATTTGTTGGGTAGATTCTCAATAAAGCCTATGTTATAACGAAAAGTGAAATAATACACTATGCTTTTGAAATAATCATTCCTGTAACATCCATTTTAGGTTTAACACAAAAATTAATTTTCAGGTTAAATGCAAAAGCATTATATAATAGGTTATTAAGGTAGGTCTGCATGATGAGAATTTTTTGCAATTTCGAAAAGAAGACCACTCAATTTTCTAGTTATTTATACATTCTAAAGAGTAACACTCAATTATTAATCTGGGAACACTAAAGCACCTTTTGTGCAAAAATGAATGATTTAGACCATGTTTGGAATGAGTTATATTCATCTGAAAAAAGCACAAGGTCATCAAAATGGTAGCAGTCTGACCTTAAGCAGATTTATATAACTGCAAAGGAATGAAAATAACATATAACTCTAAAATTATATCATGTGTCTTGAACCAAAGTTGAACTTGTATCAGATATGATGAACCCATGCCATACATGTGATATGCAAAAAGCAATTTCAGCTTTGTTCCAAATTGGGACCATGAAATGATTGGACCTTATTATGGCTAATAGATTTTTGGTTGCTAGATTATCAATTCTAATAATACATATAAAGTACAAATATACAAAATTTAAAACACAATCACAATTATCAGAAAATTATTAAATAATGACAATAAGTTACCAAAACTAATTTTGCTAAAGTTAGTATGGGCAGTGTACATGATTAATACTATAGAAGGGAATGATTCTAAAAAATGGCTAAATCCTCTCAAAAGACAGTAATGCGACAGAAGGGGACATGGGAAAGATGGGGAAGCGTACAGAGAGCAAGGCGTGGTGAAGTAATAGATGAACCAGAAAGAGTGAAACAGAATGGTCACAAAGTGGCCAAAGAGAAGGCAACACTGGAAAGCCTGCAGTTTCTGAATCCAAACTTATCAAAACCCTTTGTCAATAATAGATACAAGAAAAAATATATGATCATTCCTGATAACATGAAATTAAGTAGATCCAGATTGAGACAGTTGAAACGTTGTGATACTGTGGTACTGAAAAACTCACAATGGATGGATCTGGTAGATTTCTATACAAACAGATTCTTTCGTATTATGAGGCTTGTTGGTTCCGCATTGAGTGTTTTGGCACTTGCAGGAAATGTTCTGAGTCTGAGGACAAACAACTGGTCAACACAAAATGGTAAGAATAGTAATACCTCCATTAAAGCTGTAAAGAGATTTTTGAATTCAAATTTTCACATTAGGTTAATTCATTGAACAGACAAAAACAAAGTAATTAATACAAAAACAGTGCATAGTGCAAAATAGTCTCTGGAACAACATAATGACATATAACCTTTACCAAGTCAGACACAGAAGACAAAGTGCTCAATTCAATGCCCCATCTGGGAATTGAGCTGCACGACCCTCAGATCCAAACCTTGATGCTTTACGACTAAGCCATTCAAGCTATGGTAGTTGAGCTGCTGTATAGCCATTTGCTATCCATGGTCATTACAGTGCTTGTAAGTTTCCATTGTGTTGTAGGAGATGAAACACAGGGTGCTAGTTATTATTCAGGCCTATTGTTTAACTGTACTGGTTCGAATACCACCATGGAGTTTTGTGTTAGCATCTACCATCAAAGTAAGCAATATTCACTCCCATTAGCTGGTAAAATGAGTTGAGAGCTCACAATGATAAATAAATGGATTACTCAAATGGTGCGAGATTTTTAATCCCAACTAGCGTATCATATACTAACAATGCTGCCAGGTAATATAGAAAACAAGCAAGAAGCAAACGCCATGTTAATTCTCATATTGGCAGCAATGTTAATTCATATGTTGGCAGTCATGTTAATTCTCAAATTGGCAGCCATGTGAATTCTCATACTGGCACTTGGCAGTCATGTTAATTCTCATATTGGCAGCCTTGTAAATTCTCATATCGGCAGCCATGTGAATTCTCATATTGGCAGCCATGTAAATTATTATATTGCCAGCCTTGTAAATTCTCATATTGGCAGCCTTGAAAATTCTCATATTGGCAGTCATGTGAATTATCATATTGGCAGCATTGTAAATTCTCATATCGGCAGCCATGTGACTTCTCATATTGGCAGCCTTGTAAATTCTCATATTGGCAGCCATGTGAATTATCATATTGGCAGCCTTGTAAATTCTCATATTGGCAGCCATGTGAATTCTCATATTGGCACTTGGCAGCCTTGTAAATTGGCAGCCTTGTAAATTGGCATATTGGCAGCCTTGTAAATTGGCATATTGGCAGCCATGCTAATTGCTCATCCTTTTCTAGGTTTAGAAAAGGTGGTACTAACATTCATGGGGTTCACTGCAGTATTTGACCTGATTGCAGTTGGCTTATGTACAAGAGGAATATTTCAGGAGAATATGTTTGAGATAATATATAACTTTAGTTCAGCTGCAGAACTTCAAATCATATGTAGTAAGTACAACTCGGTTAAGAGCTTATATTCAAATATCTTAGGAACAAGTCAAAAATTCTACCTTAACTATTCATGGTCAAGGGAGATAGTCCAAAGATCCCTTTATCTGCTAATGCATGAAGGACTGTAACTTAAACGTAACAAACTAAAAATGTCCAGTTAAAAAATGCACAAAGGGCAAAAGTGAAAAACAGTACTAATACAAATAAATGTATATGTAATAACAATTAACTTTCAGGTGTATGCGCTGTTTTAGGAGTTGCAATGTATGGACATTCCTATGACCCAACATGGTCACTTGACACTGGCTTTTATGTAGCAATTGCTCTGCCATTTCTTCACATCTTCTCAGGGCTCTGTCTAATGGCTGACAGACTCCTTCTTTGGGCCTCCAGTATGAACTTTTACTGACAGACTATCAATTAGACTTTAATGCATGAGTTAGTAATATACCATATTCCCTGAGGTGCAGGGAGAGAGTACATGTACTTGGAAGTGCCATCTTTAAAGACAAAGAATGTTTAAATATTAGTCCACACTTTGCTTGTTGTTTTGTTTTTAAAAAGATTTTATTTGACAAAGTCACATCAATTTAAGCTATATTGCCTCTCATTTGAGGAAACATGAATTTATTAAGAAATAAAACTAAAGAGCTGGTAATGTTTGTAAAAAAGCAAGTATAGCCATTTACAACCCCATCAACTACACCCCCAAAATGCAATCTGATTTTCGACGCTGTTTCGGTTCCAAATTTCGGTGCCATTTCGGCACCAAATGGACTGACTAGTCCGGTGCCAAATTTTGGTGTAGAAAATTTTCGGTGCCGGCACAGTGCCGGAACAGCACCATATTTTTTAAATGCCGAAACGGCGCCGAATTATATTTGCTATGTATTCTAATCCAGGAATAGTCTTTCCTAAACCTATGTATGTCTCAGCCTGAACCAAAAGTTTGAAAACAAACTTTTTGGCATCTGAAGAAAGATGGCAGCACATCCTACTCAAGTATATTCATCTCAGTTTTAACCAAATGTCTTAAACACAAATTCAATAACATCTTAAGATAGATGGCAGCACATCCTGGTGTAAATTAACTGCAACCTGCAGCCAAGTAATATTCATTCCTTCATTATTGATCCACACGGCTTCTAGACAGAATAATAACATTCTGCATTTATTGGCTTGGATATTAGGAGTCATATAGTTCATTGGTTTCATAGACAAATACATTACAGCGTGCAGCATTCGGGAATCACTGGAATTCACAGTATCTAGCTGATTTAAAGGTAAGCATTTTAGAGAGATCATATCTTTGGAAGGTTATGTCTGATGTCTGACATCTTGTAATATTATGTAATATTAATTGATACATGCAATGTTATGTAGGATATATTTTATTGCATTGGAGAAATATCAGCATTGCATTTGTGTTTTATTAGAATCAGGCTAATTGAAGGAGAATGTGATTTTGGGGTATGGTAACATAGTGAATTATACTAAATTGGTGTGCTCTGATTTAACATGTAATAATTAATTTGCTGCATGATGCCAAAAAATAACTCATCATTATAAGACCCGTTTGCATAAATAAGAAGAATAAACGAATGTATCTTTGAATCAATAGATGGGGGAGCTGAGGGGGGGGGGGGGGGGTGAAACAATACAACGACCCTCATATTATGCTACTGTTAACATAACAAGAGGCTGAAATATAATTAAAGCATGAGCAAAGCAAATTCATTTTTAAGAATGCACCAAGACATTGTGTATTTTTGAAAAATTCTCAAAACATATTTGTTTGTACTCGTATATGTATTAACATGACCAAGCACTTAGGTCTAAAACATGATCCAGACACATATTTATGATCCCACTATCAGATAACTTAACAAGGAATATCAGTATCCAAAAGATGAGAAAAAATAAATTATGTTGAGGCATATCATGACTCATAATTTACTTGTAAAAGGCAACACGTTTCAATATAGTTGGAGAGATCGTGCAATCTTAACAGTGAATGTTATTCCATATGGAAAAATCAATAGTTATTGATTGCATTGAAGAGAGCGCTGAAAGACCATTCTATTAAAAGCAATGCTATTATAACAATATAAGCAATACTACATCTACTGTAATCTAATCAATTATTACTTGAAATCATTTCTAATAGGAATAGGCTGAGCCAAGTGAACTATAGGGATAACACCCTGGGCACTTTCTTTAACATTGGCACTTTCTAACATTGGCACTTTCTTTAACATTGGCACTTTCTAACATTTTGCCATCTGATATTTTACTGTTGAATTATTGAAATTATTTGTTAAAATCACATGATGGCACACAATGTACTTTTAATTGGTTAATTAATCCAGTGATTTGTCATCATAGCATATTGTTTGCATCTTCCATATTTCAGACACTAAATTTCCCAATGTTCCTCATTCTTAAATTACTTTAGAAGGAGAAAATTATAATAATGTAAGCCATAATGTAGCAATCCAAGCCATGGCTGCATGCTCTCCAGAATAATGTCTTGTTTCAAAATGTTGATGATGAACTTAACAATGAAGATACTGCATAAATGAGTTCCTGAGATATGATAACAGTAGTTAATTATTGGTTAATATCATTATACTTCATGATATATCCTGGTTTGTATTCAGATTTATGCATACAACACCGAAAGTATTAAACCATAGTCTCATACCAGAATACTGTATGGACAAATATACAGTTAAACCTGTATAAGTGGAACACCTTTGTTTGCCAAAATATGCTCTACTTTACATGTTTTACAGTACAGTTTGAGAATACATGTAGTTGCCAGTCTTGGTATTCCATATTTAACTTTAAATAATGTAGTTCAATCAAGAAAAATGTGTTTACTTAAAATGTTTAGAGCATTAATATCAAATTATATCAATGGCAATGAACTTATACCTCTTCATTGCCTAAAGTTGCTATGGTAACAAATACATGTGCTATATGTTACTAAAGGGAAATCATTCATACGTTTATTAAGACAGAATCTAAGAAGCTATTTATAATAGATAGCATTTCAAAATACTTCCATGCTTCAGAAAATCTGGTAAAGCAGCAATGCTGGCGTATCTGATAGCATGAAATGTTTTATTACAAGTGAGTGAACGAACCACTGTGCTGTATGAAGGTGAATAAAGAATATCTAGAAATTCTAACATCAACTTATAGGGTCAAGGTTTCAAGGGTCACATGAACTTAAAGAGCCTGACTATAATCAAAAGACTAGAGCAAATAATAAGTTGTAAGCATTTTCCAAATTTTTATTTGAAACTGATAAATGTTCACCTTCAAGTACATTAATTACAATACTATATTAATTTCTTCTTTTATTAATTGTTTCTTTTATTACCAGATGAACCCTGATGACATCACAACTCCAGATGATTCTCCGCGAGACCTTCGTGTGAAATGTGCGCGATCAGGAAGTCTGGCCTCAATATCATCCCAGGTAAGTAAACAAACTTTATTTAATATTTCATCAAATTACACCTTGCAACTAGACTTGCAACTTTGACTTCTCTGATTAAATGTCTCAATAATAATTACTATTTTTATCCCTTTTTTATAGTTTAACAATTAAACAATGTTTTCCTTTGTATTTCTTCACTAATTCATTAAGGCAATAATATCAATATATTTTCCCAAATACAGGTGTCTTTTATCTCCCCTTCCCCTCAATTTTTCCCTTCCTATCTAATATATTACATAGAGCTATACACCAAGCAAGTTAAACACAAGCTGGGCTGTTATGATTGCATTTTGAAGATCAAATGACTGTAAAGGTCATTATCACCTAGCAACTAAAATATAACTACAGCATGTTCAGCAACTTATTTAAAGCAAATCCCCTGCAGTTGATCCAGCTTTCTCATCATCTGAAACATCATTTTATACAGAAAGAGAACTTTTACCTGACCTTCAATAAAGTGATGATTGAACAAGGTTTTTTGATGCAAAATATTAATTTTATCATTATATTCTCTCAAATGTCCACTTTGTCTTCATATTTTATGATACATGTATGAATATCATATCCTCAAATGATTGCAATAACAAGTTGCATACTGGAGAAAACAGACCCCTATAAACCATAGAGTATTACATATTCTCCAATCTCCAAGTGATTAATTTGCAATTACAGGATGAAGAAGTTGAGAACATGCGACAGCTCCCCCTTGCGGAGAGAAAAGAGCAGATCCTACGCAAGCTTTGTGACTTGAACAACCAGTTACGAAACATCAACAAAAAGTCCAATCTTGTTTTACTGTCTGATGCCATCAATATGCTACAAGAGAATGGATCAAATGAAGAAGTTACCTCACTTGAATCACTTATCGAGATTTGGCAAGATCGGAGTGCAGAGGCAAATAAAGAATTATGTAGCCACATTGAGACTTACATATTTGAGATCCATGAAATATATGGCATCTTTAACAGTTTAAAGACACATATCATCCCACTAGTAGATGTTCACTTTAACAAGAATAACATTGAAATCGACGAACACAAAGTCTGGGCTCAAAAAAGCTGGCTGGCATTACGTGAAGAAATCAAAATCCTTGAAAACACGTCACAAAAAGGTGAAATAGAATCTAGTCAACTTTCTAGTAAAGATGCTAGGAAATATAAATTTAAGGACAAGCAGGTTTCTCTTCCGAGGAATGACCCAGTGTTGTATCTAAGATCTTATATGATTGAGCAGCTTACATCAATACTGATGTACCTCCATCAATGGGTCCTTTTCCATAACAACGCTGCAAATCTAACCCTCTTGAGAACAGATAGGACTTCTATTAACCAAGCCATAGAACATTTCGAATTAGAAACCAAGCTTTTAGAGAAAGAGATTGGTGATCTAAAGGAGACGTTAAAACAGCGTCCAAACATTGAGTCAGATGATGCGATACTTGAGGCTCTCCATGCTAACCCTGAGTTTGCTGAGGAGATAGGGCAGATGGCAGCAAAGATGAAGGAACTTAAACAAGAACATGTCAAAGATAATGATGAACTTAAAAAGAAACAAAAAAGAAAAGGTAATCTTTAATATCATCTATTTTGCACAACCTCCCTTATGAATCAAATTTCTATAATGACATGAAAAGTACTTAAATTGTTAAAGCTATCTCATTTTGAATGTTATTTTTTAAAATATATTTTTATATAAAAAGTATGCATTGAACATCAAATGTAACATAACAAATATTCTACTTTACTTAACAATATTTAACCTTATAATACGGAATAATAAAATACAACAATTATATCTCATAAACTGGTTCATCTTATTTAGCAATGAAATGAATGTGTTGTGAAATAAAAATTCTCATTGCAGATGACATAGAGAAACTCTTCAAAGGAGTGAAGAAACCAGCCATGAAGAAAGAACTCCTAGACTTGGAGAAGTCCATTAAGACTTTAACAGCACGAGTGACCAACTTTGAACAACGCCTTAACAACCATGATAATGTCAAAGAACAGCTAAAATACAAATATCTTGAAACATTTAACAAAATGGAAGAAGATATCAAAGTCAAAACAGCCAGAATTGAAGCTATAAATGAACAAATTATGGAACCTAAAGAAAAATTGGAAGCAACTGTAAAAAACATAGGGGAAATTATGTTCCAATTAACAAGGTGCCAGAAAAACTGGATGGACATTGGAGCAAAGAATTGGCATTCACTTACGGAATGTAGAGAGGTTACGCCATGTATCAGCAGAACTACACCAGAGGCACTTAGGGTAAGAAGACATTTATATCATACCTCTTAAGATAGCATTGATAGGGGAGAATGTAGTTTTGCTATTAGAGAATGCAAACAAGCATGTATATCATTCCTGTGGACTGAAGAGGCTTTTTACAAAAATAGCTCTTTTTTTATTTAGTAATTATCAATGATTTAATATTGTTAACCCTTAAATGTTAAAACATTTTCTTTAGAATTATTGAGTGTTTATTGTTTAATGTTTACTGTTTACATGAAGGCTGGAATAATCCACCAGGGTTGGCCAAGGCAGCCTTAGAACAAATTCAGTTATCCCACATGTATTTCAGGTCAAGTCATGTCTGACTGTTAATGAAACCTTCAACTTAAGTTTGTTTATATATGGGGTTTAAAACTGATGTATCAATGTACACTCATCAACTGATTCCTCCAGTAACTATACAAACAAACCATAACTCCTGTGGAAATGTTCTCAACATTACGTACTTACCCCAAATGAACTATCTACATGTAACTAAAATTAGCAAGATTCTATAATATAATCTAGTAACCTCATTTCCACAGACAGGCATTAAAAAAGAGTTTAAGTGTAAATGTATCTTTTTCACTTATTTTCACTTATATTATTACAACAAATTCTTTTATTAAATCGTCTTCATTTTGAATTAAAATGGCTCCTGTAGGCCTATCTCATTCTCAGTAAATACTTAAAATCATGTAATAAAACTTAAGAAAACAGGATAACAGCAGTTTACATTTTCAACTTCTATAAGAGAATCTAAGGAAGGAGGAATAAATTCTGTAATAGACAAGCAGACCTCTTTGCCGACAAATAATCATAAAGTATTCAGGTTGTTTTTGTAAATATGTCTTATCCTTCTTACTCTATGACTACATTTAAAAACAAGATACATTATTGTTCCAGGCTAGATGGGTGTCCTACTATTCAATCATGAACCCAAGAGGGGTGGCCCTAATCATCAGCAATGAGCCTACCAAGCTGGCCAAGGGGGAGAGACCAGGAGGCAGGCATGATGTCAACACTTCCAGGAATCTCTTCAAGAATCTTGGCTTTGATGTCAGAGTGAGAGAGAACCTCACTTCGAATGTAAGATAAACCAGTCTGGATAATTCATGATGATTTATTTCAAATTTCACAAGGATTTTTTTGTCTTCTGTATTTTTCTCACTATATGATATATCCAAATTTTGGCGTTCTTTGAGCTTTAGGTATTCACATTTTATCTATATACAAATTATGAGACCCATAATATCTTGAGGAGATTCTCTGAAACTCAAAATATATTTTAACACTGAAACAATGTAACGTGGCTGTATTCCAGGAGATGACAGGTGTGATGAAGAGCCTGGCATCAGAGTACAACTCAAAGTCAACCTCCTACAGTCTTCTAACCATAGTCATCCTTACCCAGGGGACCAATGGGAAACTCCTGGATAAAGATGGAAAGAGTGTCTCCCTCCCTTCCCTCCTGGAATGCTTCAGTACAACCAACTGCCCTGCTCTGAATGGACGCCCCAAGCTCTGTATCATCCAGAGATGTCAGTGGAGTGACAACATCAATGTAGAAAACATTGATGATGTTGATAACACAACAATCAACCAACCTGAAGAGACCATAAACTCTACCAAAGAAACCCTGAGTAAAAATGCTGACTTTGCAATTGTGGAACACCAGTTGAACAACTGGGACAATCTAAGAGATGAGGAAGGAGGTTCACTGTTTGTTCAGATCATGGCTGAGGTGGTAGCAGCAAAGGCATTTTATTTAGACTTCAGTGCAATGTTCAGTGAGGTAGTGAGGCTCCTTAGGGCCAGGCATACCCCTGTATTTCCTACAATATTGTCAACTCTTACTAAATCGTTATATTTCTTTCCTGGTGACAGCACTAGACCATCACCTTGATGTACATAACTGTTAACTTATGAACATCACCCTGATGTACATAACTGTTAACTTATGAACATCACCCTGATGTACATAACTGTTAACTTATGAACATCACCCTGATGTACATAACTATTAACTTATGAACATCACCCTGATGTACATAACTGTTAACAGGGACAGCATAACTGATTAACAGAGATGTTGAGTGTATGTTTCATCAAGCATGAGTAATTTGTATTTACCATGGTTACTCAAAATAAATACTGTCAACAAATAAACTCTGCCAAAGTAAACATCCATTTGTGTAGTCTTTTAAATATTATACATATAATGAAGTATGTACTTTTTAATCATAATGGTATTGAAGCAGAAAACCAAGAAATCCAAAATGTAACGCTAAATCAACAAAAACAGATTTCCAGAAAACAATTCCTATGTCACAATATGTTGCAATATACAAGTGTTAGACACAGTTCCTTTTACAGTCAAATTAGAATATCATGGAGAGGATTGAAAATGACAAGGGCCATTTCAGTCAATTGAAACCCAATACATGTTAGTAACAGAATTATGTAGACTACATTATATGATCCAATAATGTTATTCTCGTATTCTATGATATTGTTCAAAACACACTTTTCTAGGCCTACTGGGTTTCATTGCTCGATCATATTGAATCATGATTTAAAGAGTAATTTTAAATATAGGATTTTAAATGCATTGTTGAGAATAGTCTTGGCAAATTCGAGTAATTTAAAACATGACATATACGTGTATGTTTGATTTCCATCTTTATTGTATCAACAAAACATTGAAATATGGCTACAATATAACCCGAGGGCCGAGATATAAATGACAATCTTTCTGAAATACAAAATGTCTCAGTTATTTGGCAAATTGTAGAATGTGGATAATATTTAAGAAATATAAAGCTTTGAAATTATTGGCTTTTCTATGATTGTTTTGAAAGTGAATTAGTAGAACTTTTCATTTGGCTGAATGCAACCATTTTGTAACTGTGTGTGGTGCTGAATGTTGAACTTAATGAAATCCTGAACTGTATGAAATCCTGAACTTTGTGAAATCCTGAACTGTATGTAATGCTGAATGCTGTATGATAATAACATTAGGTCTGTATGTGCTACAGTCCTTTAAGGTACTTAACTACAAGAATGAATTTTCCTACCTGACCTGTCAGGAACCAGGATTAATTAATTTGCACTGTTTCTTGATTGAATACTTTACATTGTGTGCAATCACACCACAATTATATGCTGTCTTTTTATTGCAACCAGAATGTCATTCATTGTCTCTGCCACTGAAGGCCCATTTATGCACCAATTGATCCTGGGATTGCACTTCACCTCCTTTTAAAGGAACAATTGTCCCAAGTTACATCATCAGTTATCATATTCCTCTGAAGAACTGAGGCATGATGGGATCGAACCTCTTCCTAGAAAAGCACACAATGTCCCATGATACATCACCAATCATCATCGTAATCCTCTATTATAACCTCCTCCTCAATGGGAGGCTGTATTGTTTGTTGACTGGGGCATTATGGGGTCACACCTCTTCCTAGAAAAGCACACAATGTCCCATGATACATCACCAATCATCATCGTAATCCTCTATTATAACCTCCTCCTCAATGGGAGGCTGCATTATTTGTTGACTGGGGCATTATGGGGTCACACCTCTTCCTAGAAAAGCACACAATGTCCCATGATACATCACTAACCATCATCATCGTAATCCTCTATTATAACCTCCTCCTCTATGGGAGGCTGTATTGTTTGTTGACTGTTCGTGAGATCTGTTGCGTTTGGTATTGAGGAGATAGTGGAGGGTGGTTCTAAATTAGAGTCTGTCTCTAATGAGTCCATTATGTCCTTCTCACTAAGCACCTCTGACCTGGAATATAAACAACAGTCTAGTATGGAATGTTTTAACTTCTGGATTAAGAGTTTAAAAGTCAATATGCATAATTCTTGCTGATATATGTACTATTGTAATACTTGTTGATTTCTGTAATGTTTTTTTACTTATTAAAATTATATAAACATATTTACATGTTATCGTCTCCAAATGTCTTTTTTTCCAATTCCAAAAGTGAATTGCACATTTTAATAAGAAATATGAGCCCTACTTTGGATTGTTTCAATTAATAAACATAAATTACCTTGTGGAAGAAAACTTGGGAAATCTTGTTAGTTCTTGTAGGAATGTGATCTGACCTGGAAAATGAAAGAAATTGTAATTATAGTAAGGATCTGGGAATATTCATAATGAATATGCTAAATAAATTGACAACAACAGTTCTAGTTAAATCTAACCATTATTCTAAGTATTTCATTTTAATTAATTTCAACGTCATGTATTTTGCAAATTTTAATTTTTTTACCAGGATATCTAAGAGTTGAGTTTGTCATGGCAAGATATGGCAGTATGTCTGTCTCCAGGTCCCTCTTGGAGTAGTGCAGATCTGAAATAGAGAGTAACACCTCTTGAGTGCAAGTGATTTAATATGTTATGTGTCAATGTGTGTATGATGTTTGATTACCTGAATTTACACATTTAGCTTCAGTCCCATTGAATAATAAAGAAAAAACTCAATCATGACATTAGTTTTTACCTTTAAAAATTCCTTTTGCCGCAGTACTGTTATCCAATGCCTGAAAAAGAAATAAAACAGATGCATAGTTAAGAATTGGTTGACCTTACCCCAGCTGACCATCTTGTTCTAATAAAGTAAAGCACAATTAAAGTGATGGCCTCTTCTCATTGGCTTACATTATTGTTTACATATCCTTTTATGACTACATTGGTATTGAGATATAAATGTTCATGTTCAGACTGCCTAATGGCAAAAGAGTTATGTGGATGTACATAATCTATGAAATTCAAGTAGTTCTAGCCAAAAATGTCATTGGCAAGAATGCAAATTACAAACCATACAGTAAATGTGACTGAAATGCAATTGAAAGCTATAGTGATGTCACCTTTTTCCTGACAGTGTAGTACTGTGGTTTATGAAGTGGTTTCCAGCCCATGTTTGTATTACTAATGCTGCTAGTTGTTGCTCTGCTTGAGTTGTAATGTATGATGCCCCTAGTTGCCACTGATGAAGCATATTCCCTCAGAACCTCTCTATTCTAAAAGAGCAAAACAAGAACCATTATTTCATGAAGAGGTTTCCAGCCCATGTTTGTATTACTAATGCTGCTAGTTGTTGCTCTGCTTGAGTTGGAATGTATGATGCCCCTAGTTGCCACTGATGAAGCATATTCCCTCAGAACCTCTCTATTCTATTGTAAAAGAGCAAAGAGAACTTAAGTGATAATGGAATTTCTCAGATAAGCCTTAATTAAGCTGTTTCCTCCTGTTCATCCTCCAATTGTTTTGATGAGTTAAAATGATAAAACACATATTCCTGCATACGTTTTCACTTGTTGAGCACTTGTCAACATTACCATTTACTTATTATTGAGGGATTTAACAGGGGTCCACAAAAAATAAAAAAATATTAGATTTTGATATTTTTGAAGTTTACAACAGATTATCTACTTATGAATCGGTTTTTGGAAAGGTTATTAGCATGACATATTGATTGTATCTGTTTAATTGAAAATAAGATCACCTGTCTGACTATATTTTGCATTTAAAATGATTAAAATTAATTATTCCATTTAGTTCACTTTCTTTTAACATCATCTTGTTTTTGTTGATCCCCCAATTGATATGTTTAAATAATAAAACATATATTCCTACATACGTTTTCACATATTGAGCACTTGTCAACATTACCATTTACTTATTATTGAGGGGTTTGACAGGGGTTCACAAAAAATAAAATAATAGATTTTGGTATTTTTGAAGTTTACAAAGGATTATCTACTCATGAATCGGTTTTTGAGAAGGTTATTAGCATGACCTTAATTGATTTTATCTGTTTAATTGAAAATAAGATAGTCTGTCTGATTATATTTTGCATTCAAAATGATTAGAAATAATTGTTCCATTTTGTTCACTTTCTTAATAACATCATCTTGTTTTTCGTTGATCCGCCAATTGTTAATGATATGTTTAAATGATAAAACATATATTCCTACATACGTTTTCACCCGTTGAGGACCTGTCAACATTACCCTTTACTTATCATTGATGGGTTTAACAGAGGTCCATAATAATGAAAAATATTAGATATTGACACTTTTGAAGTTAACAACGAATTTTCCACTTATGAATCAGCTTTTGGAAAGGTCATTAGCATGATATATTGATTTTATCTGTTTAATTGAAAATAAATATTCTGTCTGACTATATTTTGCATTCAGCATGATTAAAAATAATGATTCCTTTTCGTTCACTTTCTTTGAACACAATCTTGTTTTCGTTGATTTGCAAATTGTTTCTGCCTATATTCCTACATACGTTTTGGCCTGTTGAGCACTGAAACTGAGCACTGTTTACATTTTAAAACCTTGGAAAAAGCATTTGATCACATATAATATTGCATTTAAATCATAATCTAAGATGAGTTAGGAATTTATAACCACTATTTATAAAAATGGATTTTAACATCAATAAAGCATATGATATGATGTGGGGTGAAAGGATATATGATTTTTGCAATACGGGCTCTACAAGCATAACTACAAGCAAATAACTTTAGTAATAGAAAGGCGTTTACCCTGATTATTTTATTTAGTAGAAAATAGACTGTCCTATGAGGCAATGCTAGAACCCAAACTTTCTATTGAAATTAATTAATACCGTCTCACCCAATATTTTTTTCTCAAAATAGGTATTCTGCCATATCCAGCTCCTGATCATCCAGTATTTGTTTAATATTGCCCGCAGAAATGATGTTATTAGAATTATTGCTCAGGTTGATATATAAATGCCACCTAAACTAGCACTAATACCACTAAAACATGCCCCACAAGGTGGTAATAATAGTAATTGATCCGGGAACTATCCACAAAAGATTCATCTTTTTGAATTAATCTTGAATTAAATCTTCAATAAATGAAAATCTGAACCACTTTAAGATATTCAAAAAATTCAGTGTGCCATGTTTATAGTATTCACATACCAGAGATGATCAAAATCGCTCCACAACTTTTCGAGTTATAGTAAAATACGTTAAAATGGCGGCTATGTTCGGCCATTCTCCCAAAAGTGTCATTAGACAGTGTGCCATGCTTATAGTATTCACATACCAAATTTGAACGAAATCACTCCACTACTTTTCGAGTTACAGCAAAAATCGTAAAATAACAAGTAAAGGCCACCATTTTTTCAAGATGGCTGCCATTTGCTTCTTTAATATCTACATTTCTAGCTTTATTAATGTCCTATATAATTTTTTTCATTTAAAAGATATTGCTTTACACTTTTACATATTGCACCTAAATAACTGTAAAATCGGCACTAAAATGGCCGCTATTTTTAAATGAGTGGCCATTTTGAAAATCGGCTTTCGAGCAGAACTTCTATCCCTATAGGGTATATGTGTACAAAATATGAACAAATCTGGCCAACGGTATTTAAGTTATTGCCCGAACGGAGGCACGTACGTACGGACGGACGGACGGACGGAGGCCCGTTCCATATATCCCTCCAATTTTTGTTCAATGGGATAACCATTTAAAATTGATTTAAATTGTTAGGACATGATACTAAGCTTATAAAGTAAAAATTTGATTAGTTACACCAATCATTGTGATTTTAGAGCCCATTGTTATCTCAGTTTACAGTTTAAATTGTATAAATCTTCTTGCTGTCAACGTATTTATAATAGTCTACACTTATTTAATGCCTGTTTATAATGATACCGAACATTACTGTAATATTGAAATCATATAAGTTATAAAGATCCTCAAGTGGAAGTCAATGTCCCCTCCCCCCATTTGTGACATGGCGTTATACGAATTAGGTTGAAGACATCAGGATGAAACCTGTTTTCATGATTTATACACCTCAATGATGTAATTTAATCGTAACAATGTACTAGCTTTTCATCTTAGAACTATCCGGAAAAATATTTAATATTTATAAAATAGACCCCTGCTGAAATCGTTCATAAATGAAGTTCTGTAACTTTGTATGGTGCTCAAAAATTCATAAATGGTCAATGCTATAATCCTAACTAAAAAAAGCAAATTAAAAACATTAGGCTGTAACAATAAGCTTTAAAAAAAATTATCCAGTGTTTGATGAGTTATACCCCCCACTGTGAACATGGATTCCATTTTGATCTAATTTTTCAGTTGAAATTTTACATTATGCTCTTGATATATAATAATTCATGCTTTTTGTACTTATTTATTATCTATTCACAAGAAATCTTTTAAAACGATTATTTCTTAAAAAAAATGGACCCCCGCTTAAATCTCAAATAAATGATAAACGGTAATGTTGTGTGATCCTCAACAAGCAATACCATATTCAGTGATATTAAATCTATCAATATAATCTATAAAAATGATTAGAACTTGAACAGGAGGTAATTTCCAAATATTTGTCAATTCCTTTATCACTACTTAGACTGTAACATGTAAGAGCAAATACATATCATCAAATATTAATGATATGTGTTTTAGAAAAATAAATGTAGAAGGTAAAGGGTTACCAAGGGTCAAGGGTTACCACAACATTAAGTTGACCAAATTTACAGATAGTTTTTACCTGACTAAAGAGTGAAATTCTCAACACATTTTTTTGTTGTTGACAAAAACCATACTAAGAATTCCCAAACCATTTTAAGGTCAGGTAGAGCCATTTTGATTAAGTTCACTCAATCTTGGATTTACAATGTAATGATTGGATTCAAATTGCTATTGCACACTCCAAGTGGCACGTTATCACGTCTTTTCATGTTTTTCTATCTATTTTTAGCTTATCAGGATTCACGTTTTGGTAATCGGAAACTACAGTAAAAATGCATAAAGGACCAACGGTCCTGTGCTCACAGTGTTTTGTGCAGCCAATGATGAATGACTTTATACGTGAGAAAGTTTCCTGAAAATCACGAAGTTCTACTTTTTGTCAAATTTTATATAGTAAACACCAAAAACTGTAATTTCAAGAGCTTTGAAATCTTCAAAGAACATAAGCTGCATATACAGCAACTACTACAAGTTATTTGAAAGTTCTACTTCAACAAAGTGTCTAGTATTTACAGAAACTTTGACTTTTTGACGTCAAAATCAGCAATTTTTCGGAAACTGGGCAAACTTGGGAAATGGCGATGATAGGTCAAATAGGCAGTATGGATATGCATAAAATGAATGTGGATATGACTCAATCCGAATAGCAACTTTAATTTGTGCGGCCAATGTTGACGAACGGATGTACCAACGGACAGACAGATGCCTGGTCGATCCCATAGGCTCACTGTGTGAGCCAATAACAACATGTATTAATGACAAGAAACACTTCTGAATTTGTTAGATAAATCGAAAAAAAAACTAGCATAATTTTTGTTTGATGCCACACGTAGTTACAAATCTTAGAATTATTGCATTTTCTTGAATTGATAATGATGGGCTAATTATCATTCCTTTTATTTTAGATTCAATTTCTGCCATGGTAAGCATCTTAATTTAGTTTGATGGACATATAATTCAAACTGTTTGTTAATTGTTTCAGCTAACTCGTACAATAACGTTGACTGCATAACATACAGTTTAGACAATTTAATTGAAGTTTTTTATCGATCATTTTATGCGTTTCGTCCCACTCCATTATGGCATATCGTCACAATTTTGGCAAGATTTTGATGGATATTTAAATAAACTCACACTCCATTCATTTGTGAGGTAATCTGCGCTACTTATGTACTCAGTGGAGGCAGCGAGGTCATCTATACTAGTGTAGAACTCTGGGTAATTCTGGTGAAGGTAGGCAGTAAACACATCCCCCGATAAACAACATCTCTCTACTACTGACTGGAAAAAATCATACAAACACATGTAAAATTATTAAATGGCAACTCAACGAAAAAACTCTGAAAAGCAATATACCATTTCACAAGAAGTACTTGTAGGTATTGAGTTGAAACTCTTTTACTGAATTTGCATCTACCTAAAAGACTTAATGAGTTTGTGTAAAGTACTTCAGGGTGTTTGACTGAGTGGTCCGCAACTCATACAAAAGGCTGTGGTGTGTACTTGTATGTCTATGTATACACCCTATGCAGACAGAGCCTGTGGGAAATATTGGGTGCGGAGCAAATGAGCGGAGGGTGCGGAGCTAACGGTTATTTTTGAATTTAAATTTGGGATATTTCTGAAACTAAGCCGTTTTGGGACTTCAAATATACCAAGACATGTGTATTTGACACCAAATATCAATACAATTGTGAAAATAGTAGCGCAATTCATTCTATAGCGACGCAGTGAGCCTTAAACCTTTCCCAGACCTATATATTTTGAAATTATCCTTTTAATACTGAGTCCCCAGCATTCATAAAAAATGGTGTTCAAGGTGCACTATCTATACAAATTATTTTTGCATCTTGGAAGCCAGGCAGTATCTGTGTGATTTTATAAAAATTCGGAAATGTTCTTCAGATATGAGCCCCTCTAAATATTGGGTGCGGCGAGCAGCTCCATAAACGTAGCTCCGCACCCAATATTTAGAGGGGCTCATATCTGAAGAACATTTCCGAATTTTTATAAAATCACACAGATACTGCTTGGCTTCCAAGATGCAAAAATAATTTGCATGGGTAGTGTATCTTGAACACCATTTTTTTATGAATGCTGGGGACGCAGTATTAAAAGGATAGTCTCAAAATATATTGGTCTGGGAAATGTTTAAGGCATACTGCGTCGCTATAAAATGAATTGCACTACTATTTTCACAATTTTATTGATATTTGGTGTCAAATACACATATCTTGGTATATTTGAAGTCCCAAAACGGCTTAGTTTCAGAAATATCCCAATTTTAAATTCAAAAATGACCGTTAGCTCCGCACCCTCCGCTCATTTGCGCCGCACCCAATATTTCCCACAGGCTCTGTCTGCATAGGGTGGTATAAGTGCACATAAAAGAACACAGGGCTTCTTCAAGGGGGGTTCCTGGGTCTATCATCAAGGTTAATAACGTAAATTACAACTTTATATACGGGATATACCCAAGAGATATTGCTCACCTAAATTGCAAAACAAAATAAAATACAATTTAATTTCCTATCAACCAAGAAACAATATACGATAAACTAAGAAGTTACTTTAAAACAATTTTCTTGACCTTGAAAAATTTGCTGTTAAACAATGTTCCTTGATCTTGATAAATTTACTTTTTCAGAGCTCAGTAGGTGTGATTAAACTGACCTTGAGAACTTGCAGATGATTTAAAAACAAAAATTTTGTCAAATTGAAGCAAGTTGACAAATGACCTTTGTTTTGTTAACCATCTTCAAACAACAATAAATTTTAACGACGGCCTTACATTGGCATATTGATATGTCCCACAATATGCCACTATAAACCACTTCAAGCCAGTAAACGAGTCTAAAGTCTAACTTCTTTAAAATACAAATTGTACAAGAAGATAGCTTTGAACTTGACTGACTATAGGACAGATAAACTTTATAAAACATTAGTCTTATTTCATATTGATGTTTAATGTTATTATATAAGTGACATTGTAGATCTGTCTGGAGGAATGCGGAACAATTCAAAAAGCCATTGCAGATGCAATTATATAATGAGAAGTAATCTTTGTATTTGACAATTGTAATCAAGTATGGAACAACTTCCCCATCAAAAGTCCAGTAAGAACGTTTTTGAACATTTAAGAACATGATTTGCCAGTGAATAGAAACATTAAAACATCAAATATTGCTTGGGATTTGAGCAAATAAGAACATGGGAAATTCTGTACAGCAATGGAGAGTGGCCATTGGGGCATTCAGAGGAGGCCGGGGAAATAGGGTATTTTGCATATCAAGGATCTTCAAATCTCCAACAGAGTTGGCACTGCAGCTAGAGATCATAAAAATTCTGCTGCTGAGAGGTGGTATTGAACAGAACCCTGGTCCAACCCAACCAGGACAGCAATCAGGTAAGGCACATGACGTCAACAATAGTGGTTGGAAGACTGACTCGTGTACTCGAGTTTTACTCGCATTTGTCCTAAAAATCAATTGATCGAGTTGAAAACTTGAACTCATGATTTGAAATTTTTACCCCAAAAAATATTTTTCACTCGTTTTCACCTTACCTTGACTCGCGATTCGTCTCTCCTATTCGCAATTTCCATGCTTATAGTTGTAATGTTCTGCTTAATCTGTATAGAATACAACTTATTTTCCTATTTAATGCCATGTGCGGAAGACAAACATACTTGGATTTTATTCTGCGTTCGATATTTTTATGCAAAAGTTTCATTTCCGGTTTGATGCATTTTGGGAATATCCAACAGCCGGAAATTTTAATAAAAAGTATAGAGGCACTTGAAAGACTTGATCAAATTGATGAATTCTGCCGCTACTTGGGAAACTGAAACCGGGAGTAACTCAACTAAGTAAAATCGCGAATATAATTGGTTTTTCATGGCCCACTCGAGTGGAGATTTTCAGGCGAGTCCGACCACTAGTCAACAAGATCACATCATTGAAAAAACCTTCAAAATGGCAATCAGAAAAAATTTAACCTGTATAAGTGAGCACATATTTATAGTGAGACCTGAATGTAATACCAGGATTGACAAATTTATAATTTAAATGTCAACATAATAAAAATGAATTCTAGCACATGGTTGGGCTTTGTATAAAAACCTCCTAACTCATATCCACCTACCCACCTACGTGGGACATGATACAGTCATTGAAGGGTTCAATTTTAAAGATTTTTAAATCTCAAAATAGCTCTAATTAGTACTATTAATATTTCTACAATTCCGGCTTTATTTTATGACTAGACGGATGACAGATCCATAAATAAAGGCATATGGATGCATTGTAATGTGTAATGACCCGAGGGCGCCCCGGGGAAATAACTAACTAACGACCGCGAGCATAGGTCCATCAAGCCAGATAAATGAACAAACACAAAGAGCACATGCATCTCGAACTCGCAACCTCGTGGTTACGGCACCCAATCGCCTAGATCGAACGTGCCAGCGCTCAAGCCCTCTCGGCCAACTCGACAACCCCAAAAAAGGTTGTTTTGTCAGTCGATCTGACTAGAGGCAGCTGATGTTAACGCTCGAACACACCAGATATTGAAAGAAAGTGTGCTATATTCGATGCCCGAGTGGGAATCGAACCCAGCTGGGCTGTAGTTGCAACTTGCTATCAAGGGTTGTTACAAATGCATCTACAATTCTAGATTTCAAATCAAGATACCATATTTTAGTTACCAAGCTGTTGGGACAAGGTTATACTTGTAGAAAACATATGAAATCCTTTCTGGGCTTTGCTGAAAAGTACAAGTCATTAATTTTGAAATTTCAAATTTTACCACTTGAGATGCTGAAGGATGTAGGAATGGTATAACAAATTGGCAATGAACTCAGT